AATAAATTAGTATCAAATTGGATGTAATAAATATTTCGGACATTCACCAAAGCGACTAATTTGATTGTCAACATTCACCGGTGAACATTGGCCAGCCAGAATCACACCACACGCACGTGGTTGTCCCATTGCTGTCAATTAATCAAAGTGCCCAAAGAAATAATAGCGGTATTTATAATGACCGGGCAATGTGAGAAATTATCGTAAAGTAATTCAAATTTATCAAATTGCCCAATTTTAATGGTCATTATTCATAATAACTAAGCATTATGAATACTGACCTAAATAATTTGATTGCCCGTGACATACATATATATATATATATGCATGAGGAATATTTCTTGCTTTTAGCACGGGGAATGGAACTCCGTGCTCAAGAGATGTAAACGTAACTTAAGCCCATCCCACAGTTAGGCAATTAACTTCATTAAGTACAAGCAACCGCGAAGTTTATAATAAGAAATAAATAATAGAGCCCAGTTATTGTTTTTTTTCCTTCCTTTTTACAGACTGACATGGATTATAGGTTTTATGTCATGTCATCCAATTAGCAAATCATGAGAAACTGCTGCGCATCTTATTTCGAAATTGGGATAATTCTTATAGGATGTAAAAGTAAAGAAACTTCCTCCTTGCTTCTTCTTTAAATTTCCAGAAATATTTGTTTAATGGATAATTAAATAAGAATTATTAATGTATATTTTTCCATAATAACCATTTTCCTTATTTAATTAAAATGAAAAATTTATTCTTTTTGAGCTTTAACAAAATCGTTTTCAAATAAGATTCTTATTTACCGCGAAACGAAAAATTGAAGAGTAGGATGATTAATATGTAAGTATATTTTGTTACGTATTTCAAAAATCTGTATTACGTGTTTTCGCTTTTTAAAAAACAGTTTATTACGTGTTTTGCTGTTGTTCTTTCGAGTCAGGACGGTGACTTAAGACATTTTACTGGGTAAATGTTGGAGCCTAATTTTAGCAATGATGTTTTGAATTTGATTGATATCTTTCTTGCCGTGATTTGCCATTTTTAGAGAAGTTATGAACGATTCTATTTCAATACTGTGCGTGATTTAAAGGTAAGTTTACGTACCTTTACTTTAAACAAGTAGTCAGAATAGAAAATGCTGTTTACTAGTTAAATTTAGTAGGAATAACACGATCTGTGACGTAGGCTATAGTATACCCAATTACTAACGCTTAACAGATGAGAAAATTTCATATCGATCATGCCTATTTAATTAATGAATTAATATTTGAAAAAAAAACTGTATTAACATCAAGTGTTATCCACAAGTTCAAAAAAATGTATTTGAGTGTATGAATAAAAAGTATTTTATTAACGATTGTAAATTTGAACAAGATATAGGGAGAGTGTGAAGTAAAGTAGAAAAAAATCGTTAATATATCAGGCTTTACTGTGCTTTGACTGCTATACAAGTTGACTGTATGTGTGTATTAGAACATAAGTTTACTGATTTGCATTGGAATAGCATTACTTGATTTCGAACGAACCTGAACTGTGAGAATAGTTTAGCCTCCGTTCACGACCTTGAAGCCTTTTGAGTTATGATGAGATAAGATTTAACACTTTCTGTTGCTTCCTCAATCACAAAATATGTAACTTAGTCTTTTCCTGATAATCGAAAAAACAAATAAACAAAATAAATGAATAAAGTAGGAATTTTTTTTTCTTATCATGATTGATGAAAGACATGATGGTCCTGATCTTCCTCTGTTAAGAGTAAAGAAAAATCGTAAAATTTTGGTAATAGATTGAAATTTAATCTTTTCTCCTACAATTTACTATGCAGTTCATCTCCTCTGCTAGCAATAAAATTATAAATATCCTGTCTTGCTTGAGTCATAGTTATTTTCAGACATGCTGACCAAGTTAAAATCCCTTAACGTGCACGAGCAATCCCAAGTTAAAATCCCTTTTAATTTGACGCTCAGAAACTCATTGTTTTTTCTCCAATTTTCATATAAAATTGGGCGTATTTTATTATCGGCGTCGACCCATTTTTGAGTTTACCACAATCAAAGTTCAACTCCACAGCCTAGTAATTTTGAACCTTATTCCTAATTATTGAACCTAATTATTCCTGGATCAAGCATTTGAACAAACAATCACAGAACCTTTTTTCCCTTCAAATTTCCTATACACTCAATGTTAAAAAAAAAAAACTTGATTTCACGAATTTTTTTTCTAATCCCACGATAACTTGAATTTTTTTCTCCATAAAGAGTGTAGATTTTTTTTCTGAAAATAAAAAAATGTTCCAAAAAAAGTAAAAAATTTTTAGAATAGAAAACCAATTCTCATAATGATAAACTTTTTTAAAAAAATGGACATAAAAGATGTCAGTGGCATGGAATGATGTGTTTCTCTCTACGATAATGAATGGCTTCAAGAAGGCTGAATTCATTTAAAGATCACGAAAATAGTCTAAAAATCAATATCGTTAATTCTGCTGAAAACTACACCGAAAATGATTGGGACAGATTCATGAAACTTGATGACTTGGAATTTCATAACTTTGTAAACGTATCAGTGGGATGACAATGATATCATCGCTCAAACGAAAGCTTCTTGTGAACTATCAGAAGAAGAGGATGAGGAAATCGAAGATTTACCACCCAATCTTACTAACAAACAAGCACTTTCTGCAGTGGACACTGTTTGAGAGGCAGCCAAATATGTCAGAGGAGACATTTAAAGCTATAGTCCACTTGGAAAGTGTTACAAACAAACTTTCTTACACATCTCTAAAGCAAACAACAATTGAATCTTTTTTTTAAACGAAAGTGTAAAAAGTGTTTTTAGAATACATATAGAATAGTAAATAAGGTATGTAAAGAGCATTTTTTATTTTTTATTCTACCATCGATAACATGCGATTTTCGATAATTCGAATTTTCGGTATCTCGAATTTTTTCTCCTCTCCCTTCAAGTTCGAGATATCGAGGTTTAACTGTCTATATATATGTATGGAAAATAATGACAAGAGAAGAAAAATTAATATTATTTATTAAAAGTATTAAAAAAAGTTTTTTTTTAATTATTTAAAAGAAATTATTATTTTAATTATTTAAAAGAATTTTCGGTATCTCGAATTTTTTCTCCTCTCCCTTCAAGTTCGAGATATCGAGGTTTAACTGTATATATATATGTATGGAAAATAATGACAAGAGAAGAAAAATTAATATTATTTATTAAAAGTATTAAAAAATTTTTTTTTAAAATTATTTGAAAGAAATTTTTTTGTTTTGTTTGAAAATTTGCGATGCACTTTATTTCTGAAAGGGAATAAAAGAGCATTAAACCCTTAAAAAAATTGCAAATATTTTTTAGTTTCCTAGCGTTTCTTTCATTAAATATTCGCTAACCAGAAAGATATAAAAATCGTATAAAATAACAAAATGGTTCAGGTCATGTAAAGATGAATAAATATATCTTAATAATAATATTTCCTCGTGCTTATGTAAGCTAATTTTTATTTTTATTTAAAATCATTTTGAGCACCGATTTAAAATAAGTTTTCCTGAAAAACATGTCTCCCAAAAATAGTGACTATGTTACTGTGAATGACAGAAATTGATGGTTGTGTTGACTACCACGGTGAATGTTGACAATCACATAGTCGATTTGGTAAGTGTAAGAAATATATACTACGTCTACTACTAACACTGACGGGTATACATTTGCCCGGTTTGTCCTACACTGATGTTTTTTAAGGTTCAGTGCCAGTGCCTAGTATACATTTCACCGGTACTCCAAACACTGATATTTCTTCCTATCTATCCTCAGCAGATATTAACATATCGAATAAATATAATGATATCAACGACTAAAATAATATCAAACCGGATATAACAAATATTTTGGACATTTACCAAGTCGACTATTGATTTCGACGATTTTTTATTCACGGAAACAACTACATTTCAAAAATAGTTGAAGTTAATTAATTTTTTTTATATAAACGTCGTTTGAAAGCCGATCCAATTTAGGGTTAGCGACTACTAATGTACAACTACTTAGCCCAATTCAGAAGACAAGGGAACTCCTGAATCAAGTATTGGGAGGAATTTGCCTTCGTGGAGGATTTTTTAATGGAACTAACCCGCATTAGCGTTACATGAAGAGGAAGACCATGAGAATCTTCCACTGGCAGCAAAGGGACTGCAACCCATGATCCGTCTACAACTGAGGATATTTCACGTCAGCACTGTGATCGGTGCAAGCCGGATGCGGAATTCGTATCGACCAGCTGTTGCTGGGATTCGAACCCGTTTTACCTCATTGAAAGGCGAACGCTCTATTCCCTGAGCCATCGCGGCTCAGTTAACTATATTTGTAAAAAAAATAATTGTAGTATAAAAAAATGTTGTTCTTTCGACTACTGAGATGCAACTACTCTGCATTCAGAGCTAGCCTGACGCCACCACCGGGATTCGAAACTAAATCACCCATAACAGATAGTGCATGAAAGAAAGTAAGAATAAAATTAGTATAACGGTACACCGAGCTATCAAACCATTCATTACACATAAACATTTTTAAAAATTAAAAAATTTATGAGTAGTAGAAAACGCATTGTGACCTCAGCTGAATAACTCGACCTCCCATTATGTAACATGCGTTTCTGAACACAAGTTACATAAGGGGAAAATTATCCAAGGATAATTCCAACTGTTATAGCAACTTCGGAATGAAAATAAATTCGATTTGATCGGAATTGTGATAACGTTTTGTTTCTAAACCTTGAATTTCGATACGTTTTAGAAGTAGTAATCGTTTTTGTTTTTAATGTGAAGAATAAGATGTATTTGAATAGACTACTTTTAAACTTTCTTTTTTCCTTTTCTTGAAAATTTTAGTTGTAAGATATTCTTTGGACGCATGAATATCTGAGAGAAAAACTATCAATTTTGGAGAATGACAGACGTATTCCTCAATGAAAATTCTCATCAAGAAATTCTATATTCTAGTAGCAAGGTTATTGTTAGTCCATCGAAGTCTCTTTCCGAATTTGAGGATAAAAAGTCCTGGGGTAAGTATATATTTATCAGTTCCTTAATCTTATTCGTAAATAGCGCGGGGAGTTAAGAACTTGAAATAAAGCAATTAAAAATTCAATGAAATCGAATAACTATAACTAACAGTGAAACAAAAATAATCTAACAACTGAATAACTTTTGATTTACTGATTGGAGTTTTAAGAATCAGGGCAGAAGGTTAATTGAGTCAAATCTTAAATATTCTAATTCATTACAGCAGACTATATTTTGAGGTAAGAAATCAGACTTAAAAACGTTCTTTCTCTGAATTACTATACCTTTTTTTCAACGAATTTCGAATCTTGGCCCTCAAAATAAGTAGGGTAGCTAAAATCTGTAAAATATGGTCAATTTGAAATTACAATTGTGGGCAAAATTCGATTTACGAGAGTCAGGAAATTTAAACCCGATAAAGGAAAGATATATTTATTCAGTTTTGTGTTGCGTAAATTGATTTTCTTGTGAGGTCACCACTTGAAAATAAAAACATTCAGACCATTGGCTTGCATTAAATTTTAGTTCCCCCCCCCATTTTTAATTTTATAAATTAAGAAAAAGTGAAAATATTTAATGTGGTATCAAATCATTGAATCACTTCTTCAAAAAAGGGCCGTAGCACATTGTGGGAATAGTAGTTATCGAGCATGTCAATCTTTCGATACACTACAGTACTCCCCCACCAGAACTATATCTGTAATGAAATGCGATAGAACGGATACCACCAGTTGATTCATTGCTGTTTTGTGAGTAGCCGGGTGAGTTGTATTAAGATCACCAACCTCTTTGAGTGCTGATCGTGAGAGGTAAATTAAGTTCACGGTCATGGTCACTCCTGTGTTGCCATTAGCAATCGACTGTATACAGGCCGCCGTTGAGTGTGATCGAGACTGAAGTATAGCTCGTTCACCAGGAGTTGGCACTTGGCTCCGCCTTCATCACGTGGTATGCGATGATACTATTTCGCTATTTTTGGGAGAAGGTTGTGAGCAATCCTGAACAAGGTTGCTATTTTGCGATCGTTTGGCAAAAATATTTATTTCGCAAACTTTATGTGCATTTTTTTAACAATAAATATTTCATAAATTTGATGGTGTTTTGCACCTTTTTTTATGATATTTCTTTCTTTTGAGTAAATAGTTTGTCCTTTATGAGACATTTCGCTGGGAGAACAGCAGTTTTTTAATTTAAACTATATTTAATTAGCTAGTGTAACAAAAGGTATAATAGCAGATGATAAAGCAAAGTAAGTGACTGAAAAAGAATTAACTTTTTGTGGTTGGCGCAAATTAAGGGTTGTCTCAAATTCAACAACGGAGATGTTTCTCTTCTAACTCCCGCGCTGAAATGAACTCTGCGTCCTAGGAGGTGGAGCCAAGTCTCAACTTCTGGTGAACGAACTATAGAAACAGCCCGACGAGGTGGATAATGTCGCAGTCACAAGTAGCTAGTCAACTGTTCAATATGGACCATCCGTCTTAGTAGGCATGTTCAAATCGTAGTGGGCTATTCTTCCAAGTTAAGTGTATTCACGTCACGTCCGTGTCACTAATGCGTAAATGGAAGTTATCGATAATGTCAACCTTCATACCTAACCATAGAATCGAGTTAACATGTCTAATATACTAGTGAATTGGAATTATATTTTTATAGTGGTAGATACATAAACTACACACACGTTTTCATGCCCCTCTCTATAGTAATTGAAGCATCATGTAAAGTGTTCATGTGAATCACATTATATGTTTCATAGGTGGATGCATTCCCAAGCGTATCATCTTCACCCTTGTTGGTTTCTTGGCCACAACACTGGCTCTGACCTTAAATACGAATCTCAGCCTGGCTATCGTTTCAATGGTGGACAGATCGAGCGACTCTATTGGACAGGTTAAAACATCAAACGAATGTCTTTCAAATCAAGTACATCATAATCACTCTCAACGTGCGGTAAGTTCTACAGAATTCGTCTTTTAAGCCTTACTTTCAGTAAAAATAATTTTAATTTTTTTTATAACCGTCGTTGAACAGCTGATTCAATTTAGGGTTTACGACTACTAACGTTCAAACTCCGTAGCCTTGGAATTTTGAACCCAATCCAGAAGATAAGGGAACTTCTGGATCAAGTAATGGGTGGAATTTACCTTCGTGGAGGATTTTTTGATGGAACTAACCAGCATTTGCATTACATGGAGAGGAAGACCACGTAAACCTACCACGCTTAGTCTGACGGCAAGGGGACTCTGTGGAGAATTAATCTTAGACTATGTCAACCTTCATCATCAAAAGGTACCTCATGATAGAATCAAGTTAACATGTCTTATATACTAGTGGCCANGGTTAGGTTGACGGCAAGGGGACTCTAACCCATGATCCGTCTACCACTGAGGATATTTTTACGTCAGTAGTAGGATCGTTGCAAGCCGGGTGCGGGATTTTTATCTAATTATGGAGTTTATCATTGCTAGTCAAAAACTCAAAATTGGGTTAGCTGTTCAACGGTGGTTATAAAATATAAAATAATATAATTATATAGAGCTTCCTAAAATGACGCAAAATAAATATGTAATAATACAAATTTGAACAAGATATATTAATATATACAGGGAGAGTGTGAACTAATAGTAGGAATTGAAATAAACATGGTATCAGACAACTCTAAAAGTATAAATTTGGTGACGTAGACCACACGTGATACCACGTCATGTTCTTTATTGAATTTATCTGACACAGCGGATGCAAAATAACTAAATATTTTAATGTGCGCAGTAAACTATTTTTTCGTTCAAATAGAGCTATATGTTAGAAATTAGCTCTGATGTTATCTTTAAAATACGTGACAAACTGAATCGTTTATAATAAAATTTAAAACAATGACTAACGCTTGAACAATCAGAAAATTCCCTTTCGTTTTTTGCTCATCCCTATTTAATGAATGAATTAATATTTGTAAAAACTGTATTAACATCAAGTGCTATCCACTACAAGCTTAAACAAATATGTATTTGAACTTGAGAGTGGATGAATAAAAAATATTTTATTAACGATTGAAAATTTGTGTGAACTAATAGTAGGAACTGAAAAATAACATGTTTTGTCAGCAGTTATCTGATGTTTATTTACATTCAAATGCTCGCAATTTTTTTAATTCACTAAAATAAATCATAGCATGTTCTTCCAACTAACTCTTCAATTAATATTAAAATTTTATTTTTTTTAGAATTACATAAGAAAAGGAGAATTTCATTGGAGTCCAGAGACGGAAGGTTTTTTGATAGGCTGTCTGTATTATGGTCAATTAATTGGTGTTTTACCCGGAGGTCGAATGGCGGAGTTATACGGAGGAAAAAGAACGCTGATTAGCTTCTTTCTGTTGGCATNAAGAACTTTTCAATTTACTGTCAACAACACAAATGAAGCTATAATGGTAAATCGTCTGCTGAATTTATGTTTAAAAATATCAAACTTACGATTAAAATCGTCTGCGGTTGCCTAGCAACACTTACTGTTGCCAAGGCCAGAAATATAAATAGCAACCCTCGTATGTTCTTTATTGAGTTTATCTGGCACAGCGAATAAAAAATAACTAAATATTTTAATGTGCGCAGTAAACTATTTTTTCGTTCAAATAGAGCTATATGTTAGAAATTAGCACTGATGTTATCTTTAAAATACGTGAAAAACTTAATCGTTTATAATAAAATTTGAAACAATGACTAATGCTTAAACAATCAGAAAATTCCCTTCCGTTTTTTGCTCATCCCTATTTAATGAATGAATTAATATTTCTAAAAACTGCATTAACATCAAGTGTCATCCACTGCAAGTTTAAACAAAAATGTATTTGAACTTGAGTGAATGAATAAAAAATATTTTATTAATGATTGAAAATTTGAACAAGATATAGGGAGAATGTGAATTAATAGTAGGAATTGAAAAATGACATGTTTTGTCAGCAGTTATCTGATGTTTATTTACATTCAAATGCTCGCAATATTTTTAATTTACTAAAATAAAGCATAGCATGTTCTTCTAACTGACTCTTCAATTAAAATTAATTTTTTTTTAGAATTACATAAGAAAAGGAGAATTTCATTGGAGTCCAGAAACAGAAGGTTTTTTGATAGGCTGTCTGTATTATGGTCAATTAATTGGTGTTTTACCCGGAGGTCGAATGGCGGAGTTATACGGAGGAAAAAGAACGCTGATTAGCTTCTTTCTGTTGGCATCGGTCTGTACATTCATTGCTCCATTTGCGGCCAGAGTTTCCGTGTACTTATTTGCGGTGTGCAGGTTTCTTGTTGGTGTTGGGACGGTAATATACAATTTTTATACTCCATCTATTATATTTTTATATCAAGCGGATACAAACAAATATCTTACCCGTAATGAGATGCCTGCAAATGACGTAGTGGGGGTATCTCGATCCTTATTGGTTGCTGAAACGTGGCATTTGTTTACGTTAGCAACTGTTCCTTCCATTTCTATTTCGAGTAAGCAAAGCCCGTCAAGTTTCAATTCTCTTAAGTGACACATTCTAAATTCTTTCCCAAAGATTCTTTCTCAAAGATTTCAATTCTTTCACTATATATTTACACAAAGATAGGCACGAAGGAACGTAAACAAACTAATTATGCATCGAAGTTGCCAGGTACACAAAACAAAAATGTATCACGTTTACTATAAATATTAAATGTAAGGTAAGTAAAAGAAATAGACGAGAAAGAAGTATATTTCAACGATATCAATGTGTGATACGGCTCTGTATAACTTATCGTTAATTTGCATTCTAACTTATGAGGAGAAACTTAGCTCAATTTTGCTGATAGAGATAGGTCACACGTGTGGGTATGGGAAGTCTTCTTTTTCTTGAAGTGCAAGTACCCAATTGAAATATTCAGAACTTCTACTTTATGTTTACAAATTTATATTTCAGTGAAAAAGATAAAAAAAAATTGTTTTATCAAAATATGCACGTACTGAGAAAAATCAATTGAACAGTAATATGAGTACCTTAAACCATAATACGATGCATGTTTGATAGAATTGTAACCTGCTAGTTTCAAATCGAAGCATGTTTCCGTTAACACATCGTGTAAGGAAGAATGTTAACATGGTTCTACTATATTGGGAAAACAAATAAGTTCCTGCCGTTTTCTATCAAAAATTAGCTGTTTATAGTAAAAATATGGTACATTATCTTTTATTCAAAGTATTCTCCATTACTAGACACTACTTTTCCTTATCTTTCTGGGAGCATTTGGATAAAACGTCCGAAGAACTCTTCATCTTTCAAGGATATCCACTCGACCCATACCTTGATTTCTTCTAAAATTGCAAATTTCTGACCAGACAGACCACGTGCCATCGACTGGAATAGTTGATAATTTGAAGGGGCAAGGTCTGGTGAATACGGCTGGTGGGGTACGACTTCCCATTTAAGTGGTAATAGCAAAATCAATTTTCATGCAAAATCGACGTTTAATGTCTCTTGGCTTCAGTTCGTATGGAACCCAACTTCCTTGTTTTTGGATCATTCCCAACGATTTTTAAAAGATGTGGAATTGCTTGCTGAGTAACTTTTAATGTAAGATCAAGTTAATGTTTTCCGTTTGGGACGAATATTTTTCCAATTTTTCTTCCAATTTCTTGTCTTCGTACAATTTCGGCCTTCCACTGCGTTCTTTGTCTCCCACGTCAAACTCACAGTTTTTAAACTTCTGAAACCACTCACGACAACTTTTCTCACTTAACACAGCCTCACCCTAATGCTTCTCCAAGCAATCGATGCGCCTCAGCTGCAGATTTCTTCAAATTAAAGAAGTAAATCAAACGTTCCCGAAAATGGTGCTTATTTGGCACAAAACTTGCTACTAATATGGAATCACTACGTAATGCTAATACAGAATCACTAATATTGAAAGTTATGTAAGGTTATGTATGTTAACTTGCACAATAAAATGTTTAACACACCAGTCAATTTCTATATAACCTTCTTATGCGGAGGAATATATATATATATGTAGTCCGCCGCATTTTTAACATGCAATTTAAAGTCACCTTGGCTATTTAAAGTTCTTGGAATAAATCCAACCATTCATCTGTTCAGAATGTCGAAATTTATTGCAACAATTATAAATGCACTGTGCTTCATTATTAAGACATTGAAACAATTTTTTTTCTTCGAAAAATTCTGTAAGTTTGCATGTTTTAGACTTATTTTGTTTAGTTATTTTTTTAAAAAATTTATATATTTATACAGGCTCCAGTTGTTCCCATATTGTTCTACCTTCTTTCGAGATGGATTCCGGAATCAGAGAGAAGCCTCACTTCTTCTTGTCTTTTGGCGGGATTTGGCGTCGGAGCTTTCGTTTCTTTTTTAACTGCTGGCGAACTTTGTTTCTCTGACCTCTTTGGTGGATGGCCCTCAGTATTCTATTTTGGAGGTATTTTACGCAGTTTTTTAAATTGAAAATTGTTCATTACTATTCTATAGTATCGATTTGTATTGTTTAAAGTTTCAATTGTTTGTTAAAATTTGACTATTTTTCGGTGAATTCTTTTATTTTATATTATTTTACATCCGTCGTTGAACAGTCGACCCAATTTTTGGGCTTACGACTACTAATATTCAACTCCGTAGCCTTCTGATTTTGGAACCAATCCAGAAGACAAGGAAGCTCCTGCATCGGTACCCCAAAAGGTAGGATTTGCTATAGGAACATGGAGGACTTTGTGAGTCAACAGATTTAACGTGCACTAGTCACCATTTACTGCACTGGGAGTCTTCGGACGCCGGGGATCGAACCCACTACCTCTTGGACATCGGCCTAGTACCCTACCAACCAGGCTGTACCGTCCCTCTGTGAATTGTTCGGGCATTTAAAAAGAAATGCAGCCACTGAAGAGGCTGCTTTAAATTACCAAAGTGTGTTGAAAAGTGTACAAGGATTACGATGGAATAAAAAAAAATTAACGTTCGATAATTGTTCGAGAATTATTAACTGTTAAACTTTTTGGAAAAATATCATATGGGCCGCTCTATTACTATGTCACTACAGATTTGAAATTTAGAATGCTGAAAGAACTATATTTGTTTATGAGCTTAACTCACAGTTTTTTTTTCAAAATTTTAAGTATTCTAAAGTTATTGCAATTTTTATGCGAATTTTTTACTATTTTTTTTCTCTTTGCGTTACATTCTGCTTTGCTCGCTAAAAATCTATAAAACTTAGAAACTTAAAATTACAAAATTTATTGAAAAATGTACAAGGAGTTCGATGAAATAAAGAAAAAAAAATTCAGATTCAATTATCATTTCGAGAATTATTAACTGTTAAAATTATAATTAAAAGAAAAACATTTCTGTTGTGCATTATTGTGAACTACAGAGTTAAAATTTGATAAGCCGATAGAATCATTTTGAACAAACGAGAGTATTTTTTTCTTTCAAAATTCCTTTTCGTTCGTAAAATCATTTCGATTTTAATTATTTTTTGCGTTTTTTTTTCTTCCTTAAATAATGATTAGTATTCCTTTGTTGAAAAACTTTTTTCTCTCTCGATTTTCATTTTATAAGCTCGTGCTTTTCTTGATGACAAATACGAAAACAAAATTAATAAATAATAACAGAAAGATTAGATGTTGCCATCAGATAAAATCTTCAAATTACGAGCGAAGAGAAATAAAAACTGTTTCCAGTGCGAACTGTTATATGAAATAAAGTTTACGTCATACATTCTTAACTTAAAAACTACTTCTACTATCAAAATTATTACTCATTTATTATTTGTTTATGTCGTTTACATTTATCTTTTCAAGTACATTTCGTTTTTTTTCTTCCTTTTCTTTTCTTTTAAATCAAATTCCTCTTATGTATCTCATGTATCCTCTTAATTTCATTTACGATTAACACAGATATAAAATGAGCTTATACCAATAATTTAAGAACAGATTATAATCAAAATGATCTTTTTCGAACTGTTATGGCCGTGAAAGATGATTTTTGAATTTTTTTTTTATAACCGCATCTGAACAGCCATTTTTGGGTTTACGGCTACCAAAGTTCAACTCTGTAGCCTTGTAAGTTTGAACCCTATCCAGAAGACACGGGAACTTCCTGGATCAAGTATTGGAAAAAGTTTGCCTTTGCGGAGGACTTTTTGATGGAACTAACCCGCACCTGCTTTACATGGAGCGGAAAACCAAGTAAACTTCTCAAGTTTAGTCTGACGGAAAGTTGACTCTAACACCCATGATCTGCCTGCCACTTAGGATATTTTACATCAGCACCAGGGCTCGAAAAACAGCCCGTCCTCGGCGATCAAAAATTTCCCGTGAACAACGAATTTCTCGAATCAGACGTCCACGCGGACGGCCATTTTCCCGTTAATGTTCGTGATACACTTTCAATTTTTGTTATCTTACAAGAGTCTAGCGCCTCACATCTGAAATGACCCTAAATCCCGCACAGCTACATACTGCTCATGGTGGATTGATGTTTTTTCCGTCTGGGAGTACTGCAGCAGTTGAAGGGACAAAAAAACACATTACGTAAGCGTTAAACGCAATTTTGAACACATCCACCTATATGGAAAACCCCTTTCAGATTTCTGTGCAGAAACCTCTGTAAATCATAGACTTGACTGTGGAACTAGCAAATGTCATATTTGATTCATTTAAAAAACGCAGTACCCTCGGATAAATTGACATTCCAGATAACTTGACCTTTGTCATTTAAATTATTTCATAAAGGAAATACTAGGTTTTACTGTTAGTAACCTAATATTTCTTTTATTACTGTATAATGTAATCCTAGTAGCTACTAATTCATTGTGTAGTTTATATAAATGTTTGTAATAAATAAGAAAAAATAATATTTTTATTTATTTAGAAGCGACGGGTTAGTTTCAAAAGAGGACGGGTACATTGTTGGACAAGCCGTCCTCGGGAACGGGTAAAATTTCTGAGTTTTTTCGAGCCCTGGTCAGCACTGTGGTCAGTGCAAACCGGATGCGGAATTCATATCGACCAGCCATCGATAGGATTCGAATCCGGTTCACCTCATTGGAAGGAGAACGCTCTATCCCCTGGGCCATCAATGCTTCCTGCGGATCGTTTGTAAGGAAAATGCCGTGTTAAATTTTGAGCTGAACTGCTCCACATAAGTCAGAGTGTTAATTAATGTGAAGTTGACTAAATACAGGGCCGTATCACGCATCCAATTTGTTGAAATATAATTCTTTCTCGTCTACATCTTTTACTTAACTTAGATTTATTGTTTGTTGTTGTTAATTTACGTCGCGCTAGAGCTGCGGTAGCCCGACGACCTGCGCGCGAAGCCGAGCACTTTACGGAAGCACAGTTTAACGAGGAACAATATCGCACACCCTCGGTCCCTACGCAGACTGATCCAAGTGGTCACCCACCCGCACACTGCCCGCAGCCAGTGATGCTTGACTTCGGTGATCTGCTGGAAACCGTGTCTTAACGATCAGTCCACTGCGGGACTATTTGTTCTTGTATTTCATTGTAATCGTGTTATATTTTCGTTTTGTGAACCTGGCAACTTCGATGCATAGTTAGTTTGTTTATGCTATACACGCCATTGTGTCGGTCTTAAAGTGTTAAGTTCGAAACAACTAGTGAAAGAATTGAAATATATGTGAAAGAATTTATCACTTAAGAGAATTGATACTTGTTGGGCTTGGCTTACTCGAAATAGAATGGTAAGATTTGTTGATAACACAAACAAATACCACGTTTGAACAACCAATCAGGATAGAGGCACTTGCAAGTATCTCATTGATGCGAAAACGAAACTGTTGGATACATATGTTTTTGCAATTAATGTTTATCTTTTTTAGGTCTCAGTGGTTTGTTATGGTGCCTTTTATGCTATATGTGTATTTCTGAGAGACCAATAGATCACCCATCTATAACTGCAAAGGAATTGAAATATATTACTGAAAATTTAGGAACAACAAAGCAAAAAAAGGTGAATGTTTGAATATTTTAAACGATTTTGTCTTAGCTTAAAATTTTATTAGTAAGTTATTTTTAACATTCAAGGTAACTTTATTTTTAAATAGTCCATAAAATTAAAGCAACGTGTTTTTTTTTTTTAAGAAATAATTTTAAAAGTAACGAAGATTAAAAATTACTTGTACATTTTTGAGCAAAAACAAAATTATGATAATAATAATAAATGGACCACCCTGAATAACTTTTGATCTAATGACTGAATTTTCACTTTCTAGGACTCCATCTAAATGGTTCGAGGGGGGAGGGAGGTTCAATATGCTAACTAATTAGTGCAGACGACATTTTAAGTTACGAAATTAGACACAGACACAAAAACCCTACTTTCTCTGAATAAACATACCGTTTTATCGATGGATTCGAATTTCTGAACTCTAAGATTTAGGGGGTAGCCGCAATCCGTCAATTATGGTCCCCATAGTTTGGTCAGGTGATCGGTCCAAATTTTGGACCTCTTAATGTTAATTTTATTTTTATCATAATCTCGAGAAACTTTTAAGCGAATTAACAAGTTTTAGCCCAAAATTATTAAAAATTATTCAACTAAAATTAATTTCACGTAAAAAATGAATTTTAATTTATATTCATTATTTTAAGGCATATAATTTTTTACATTATTTTGAAGAATGTATTTTTACACAACAAAATACAAAATTTTTGCGAAATCGGCCGAATAGTTCATGAGAAATTTAATTTCCAAAATATCGTATATTAAAAATTGAATTTCTCAGAAACGAAACTATTCGACCGACTTTGTTCAAATTTTGTAATTTGCCGTGTAAAATTACATTCCTTAAAATGACGTAAAAATTTTTTATCTAATAATTCAAAGCTTTTTGGACTATTATTAAATAAGTTAATAAAAAATAATAAATATTTACTAAAAGTTGTTTTTAATGTGAAATTATTTTTGGATAAACTAATTTTATAACTGTACGCAAAAAGTTTTCAATTCTTTTAAAATTTCTCAAAGTATAGCGAAATACGCAAGTAGTAAAATTAGCATTAAGTGGTTCAAACTTTGGATTGCTCTTCTGATCAAACTATGGGGATCATAACTAGATTCGCGGCTTTGTACTGAAATTCGAATCTGTCGAAAAAATGTTTATTTCTGTCATGTTTATTATGCTTTGTGTCTGATTTCGTAACTTAAAATATCGTCTGCACTAAATAATAAGCATATTTGAAGTCATCCCCTCTGACTCTTAAGATTGAGACCTAGAACGTGAAGTTCCAATCATTAGATCATAATTATTCGGGGTGACCGCTGTATTTTTTTGCGCGCAGTACAAACAGAAAACTTAACTTAGCAACTGTTTACGTAAATAAATAAATTGATACAGGTAAAAAGAATAGTATATTTTATAAGAAAGCATGTAAATTATTTGATTTCTACTAAGTTTAATTTATAAAATTGATTTTTATTTTGTTTTATAACCGTCATTGAACAGTCAACCCAATTTCTTGGGTTTGCGACTACTAATGTTCAACTTCGTAGCCTTGTAATTTTGAAACCATTCCAGAACACAAGGAAACTCTTGGATCAAGTATTGGGAGAAATTTGCCTAACAGGAGGACAGTGTGATGAAACTAACCCGCATTTGCGTTACGTGGATAAGAAAACCATCCAGGGTTAGCCCGACGGCAAGGGGACTCTAACCCATGATCCGTCTACTACTGAGGATATTTTACGTCAGCACTGTTGTCGGTGCAAGCAGGATGCGGATTCGTGTCGACCAGTCATCTCTGAGATTCGAACAAAGTTCACCTCATTGGAAGGCGATCCTCTGAGCCATCAAGTCTCTTGGACCCATTATTGATAAATGTAATGTTTACGTGTAATGCCATATCTGAAGAATTTTATAAGTAAATCGAAAATTTTTCCACACAATTATAAAAATAGCTTACCCAAAAATAATTCCATGCAAAAAAATAATTTTTAATAATCATTTTTTATTATCTAATTTAATAGTAGTCGAAAAAGTTTTTAAATCGTAAGGTTTACAATTCAAAAAAAGTAATTTTATATGGAAAAATACAAAATTTGAAGGATATCGCTCAGGAATTTGACCCGGTGCAGGTAAAAACAACAAAATATTTTATGCCCATTTTAAACCGTTTTCTGTCCTTTTTTTAAGAAAGACCACAACATGGGCCCTGCCCAGGTTTGCCTATGCCGGTCATCATCTTATCTCACGATTACACTGTTTTCTTGTTCTCTAATTATTTTTCCATTTCTTTGTTACCCTAGTCAAAATTCTTGATGGTTCTATCAAAACATTTTGATGGGGTTTATGTTGGTTTCAGTGCGATTCATGATGGTCCAACATCATCGAACTTTTTTCCATTATGCGTTCATAGTTTTTGATATGCCAACAAACTTCTATCGCTCCATGATGGAAAATGCTACTTCAATGGTGGTTAACCATAAAGAGAAGCTTGACTCTCATGGACCTACAATCTATGATGATCCATGATGGTTCCAACTATATATTATCATCATGGTTTAATGAGAATTCTTGTTGATTGTCAGGAATATATCCTCAAAACAATTTTTTTATGTTGGGCCATCATCAATCAGTCCAAATTCCTATATTGGAACGATGGTGGTTCATGATCGTTCCAACATTTGATTTCTTAGAAATTATGATGGAAGTTTTTGATGGTTTAACATGAACAAACCATCAAAATAAGTTGCTATTCTTATGTTGGGCGATCATCAATCAGTCCGAATTCCTACATTGGGATGATGGTTACTTATATTTGTTACCATCAAAAAATATAAAGGTTCATGATGGAATTATTGATGATAACCATCAAGATTATGTTGGTCCATCAATGGAAAACCATCAAAAATGTTGACTTGGGTAGTGACTTTGCGTTTTCTTTTTTTTTTAAAAATCTGTTTTATTTTCTTCATTCTCGAGAATGGTCGCCTTTCTTGAGTTCTTGAAACATGTCGACTTTTTCCTCTTTAATAATTTTTGAAGCTAAAGAAATTTTTCTGTTATTAAATATAGGGTTATTTTGCTTCTAAGTATGAACTATATTAAAAGAAAAGATTCAAATTTACTAAAATGCTTCTTAGAAATTTAACCTCTCCTATAAGAAATTTTTTTAAAAAAAGTTCAAATCTTGTATCTTCCAGATAAAAATTATCCCTTGGAAATCTATCTTGAGATCCAAAGCTTTCTGGTCCTTGGCAGCTGCATACTTTGGACAGTTTTGGATTCTTGGATTCTTCTGCTCAGTGCAAGCATTTTATATGGGAACAGTATTAAACATGGACAGTAAAATGGTAAGAATCAAATACAATTTGTGCATCCAGGGCCGTCTTAATAGCATGCAGGGCCCCCCGGGCATAAAAATATTTTGGGTCCCTATAACGTCTGTTTAAAATCGAACTTAAAATACATAAAATAAAGCATTTTTAAGTTATGCAATAATTTTAGCAAACTTAACCCCTAAACAATGACATATATTTCAGAAAAATGGACTAAAAAGGAAATTTTTTTGACTGTTTAATTTTGTTCTTTATATTATTATAAAAGTTAGAAAATGGTTTTTTATTACAAAAATAATATTTTCAATGCAATAACTATCTGTGTTTATAATTTTTATATATACACATTAAAAAGTAGTGGATTACATACACATGTTATTCAATTGGAGCAAATGAAACAAAATTTTGGAGCTAAATGCAATATAACTATTATAATGTAATATAAAAACACAACAATATGATTTTCAATACATAAATTTTACAAATATTTTACTGTATGGTACATCGCACATTCACATTTTCCCTCCCTCTACTGAAGTCGTAATTGTTGGAAAACTAGGACCACTATTGCCATCTATGAGGAAAATAGTGAATTAAGTATCTTAAAGTAGAAACGAACAAGTTCGTACTTCTCAAAATAGAAACGTTAATTTTTCTCCTGCCCAAAGTCAGTTCGGGCATCACAAATACTGCACGTGGTAGTTGCCCGAATCGGATTCGGGTGACGCTGGCAAGGGGTTAAATACATTTTTATCACACTAAAAACTCAATGCACATTATTTTAACACAAAATTGAGGTACTAACCAGTTGCAATTCTCAAATAATAAAATAATTTTAAAAGCCATGAAGCTAATTAAATTTAAAAAACATAAGGGTATAACAAATAAAAAAATTCAAAAGGTATGAATTATTTCGTGTCTATATTAAAGTCAGCTATTAAAACATCTTTCAATGCAAATCAGATATAACCAATTTGAAAGTAGCTGCCCCATAGTGCTCTGTGATTCTAAACTCTTTCAATTATTACTTTATTTAACTAATTGTAAATACTAAATAAAGTTGGTGGTGGTCAAGCATACTTAGAAGAATTAGTTGAGTGCGTAAAAACTTCATTTTAACGTAGAAAAATAGATTTCTGTTGACTTTTTAAGTTTTCCTTGTGTTGAACTATTCAAATTATTGGCGTTTGCATGATTACTGGTGTAAGAAATTAAGAGAATTTGCAGACTTGGTGGATTATCTCTATAACTACTTGACCGATTTTATTGAAGTTTGTTATGTACATACAATTGATACAATGCAAAACAAATAATCATTACCCAATTGTAATATACACGCATGATCGTATGTGACACTCGTTAGAGTCGGGAGGTATGAAACAGCGGTTGCAGAATAAACAACAAAAAAATGGGTTAATAGGGGGCATGGTCTCTTACAGGTGGCACTGTGGCAATTTCATACCTACCGACTCCAACGAGTGTTACGCATGATCATGCGTGTGTATTACAATTATTGAATAATTATTTGTTTTGTATTGTGTCAATGTATGTAAATCAAATTTCATTAAAATCGGTCCAGTCTGTGAATTCTCTTAATTTCTTACAACAGTGTATTTATTTTAAAAAATACATCTTTTTTTTTAAACACAGTTTATAAAACGTAAGATCCTCAAGGGCCCCCTGAGTCCAGGGTCCGACTTAGCCTAATTGGGGCCCCCTCTGCTTCACCACTTCAGGAATGAAGGTAATTAATGTGGAGGAATTTTAATGTATTTAATTTTGCGGTATTTGAAATTTTCACCTCATTATAGATAACAAGAAAATTGACTGGAAGAAATAGCTATGAAGTTCCTCCCCCTCCAATGTTCAGACGAAATATTGTTCTGTCCATTTTATTGATTTCTGACTGTTAACTTGGTCATCTAGCAGCCAAAAATACATATCCTTGCTGACATTAGTGCTAAATTCACGCAATTACGATGGCTCAATTAAGCCAATTAGAAGCCTGTATTTTTACAAATATATCACATTTTGCAATATATGTAAATTACAGGCTTTTGATTGGCCAAATTTGTTCATCGTAATAGTGAAACTTAAGCTGAATTCCTCCTTAGAAAGCCATGGATTTACGAAATATAGATTGTGTTCATGCGATAGATCAAAGAAGAAGCTAACATAAAACTGCCGGATTTTACACTGTACTGATATTTTGTTTAAAAAAAAGTTCATTAAAGAATGTAACGTAAAATTAACTTTCTATTCGATTTGGGGACCGATCTAATGCTGGGCAACTGCCGCGTATGCCCCTGCCTCAGTCAGGCTCTGCCCGAGTGCTTGGGGGCCCCAGGCACAGCGCGGTGTGCCCATGCGAAAGACGGTCCTTTAAGTAGTGATAAAAAGCGATATGCATAATTTGAATTTTTTCAGACAGGTGAACTTTCTTGCCTGCCCCATTTGTCTCGTGCATTGTTTGCTTGTATTTGCGGTTTACCAATAGACTGGGCCCTGAAAAAGGGATACACGAGCAAAGAATTCGTGCGGAAAGGAGCAACCACACTAAGTAACATGCTTCATTTTATTTTTAAAGTAAACTATTTCAACTGAATTGGTGTCCAGAGCTAATGTCATTATGCATGTTTTCAGATTCGTTGTTTGCCTGCATCGGGTTCATAGGTATTATATATGCTGGCTGTGATCCTACACTGAATACAGTATTCTTCACTTTTGGTGGACTTTTAGCTGACTTCATTACCTTTGGAGTTTGCTTAAATGGAGTAGACATCGCACCCAATTTATCAGGTAAGTAATAGAGTGTGTGCCTGATTTATTCAGTTCACTGTTAACTAAGCATACGTTTCTTTCGAGCTCGAGTTCATTTTATTTATTTTGGCAGGAACTTTGTCTGCGATTTTAACCCTTGTTGGAGTGGTTCCCTTCTTTGTTATTCCAGCTTTAGTTGGAATTTTCACAAAATATGAGGTAAGCATTATATTTTTGTAACGTAGTGAAACTTACTTTCATCCAGAAAAGTTTTTATTTACACGATTTTAAAGCTACAAAAAAATTAATAATTTATGCATGGGGGTGGAGTAGTAAAGAATTTTACAAGAAGGAGTTTTGCTTCATACTGTAATTTGTAGCATTCATATAATTTTTTAGTGTATTAAGTTTTACGATGCAAGAGATTGATGTGATTTGAGGAAAAATTCTTAAAAGTAAAAAACGATTTTGAAATTTTATAAGAAGAAGTTTCGCTTCAAACTGATTGCATTGTAATTTGTTGTATTCATATAATTTTTAGTGTATTAAGTTTTACGATGCAAAAGATTGATATGATTTGAGGAAAAATTCTTAAAAGTAAAAAAATACATTTTTATATTATATTAAAATGTTTTATTAATTGCTTTCAACTTTGAAAATTTTGACGACATTCAAATTGCTCTTTTTCTCAAAATCAATTCTCCTAATACGGTTGAGTACTGAACTGTATATTTTTTTCCATTAAGTTTTTTTAAATCCATGCACATCGTAAAATTAATTCAAAACTTGATAGCTTGCTAAATTATAATAAATAAAAATACCATAGCTCTCCATTACCATTAGCGACTGGTTTCCATAAGATTGGATATTAAACTTGTTTTCCTTTCAGCGGTCTAGGGCTCAATGGAGATTCGTTTATTACATAATTATGGGCGTTGTTGCAACTACTACATTGGTATTTGTTTTCTGCGGAACTTCTGAACCTCAAGATTGGGGAAGTTATGACGACACAGATAAAGGGAAAGATGAACTGGAAACCAAACTGAAACCAGAAGAAGAGTGATAGCTGTTATCTTTACTGTAAAAATGTATCATTTGTTCAATAAATATTATCTTTTAAAGGGTCGCGTTCATTTCAGCGACAGATCATTACATCGACAGGATAATTTCAACGACAGGCCAAGCTCAGCGACAGGCCATTCCGTCGACAGGGTCATATCGTCGACAAGTTATTTTGCCTAAAAGGCATTTTATCGACAGAGTTATTTCATAGACAGAATCGTTTCCCCGACAGTGTTATTTTATCGACTAGCCATTTCGTTGACAGGGCCATTTCATCGACAAGATCGCTTCGCCCACAGGGTTTTATCGTTGACAGGGTTATTTTGTCGACAGGGTCATTACTTTGACAGGGTCGTTTCGTTGACAGGGTTTTGTTTCGTTGACAGGGTTGTTTCGTCTACAGGTTCTTTGATTGACAGGGTCAATTTTTGATTGTTGACAAATTTTTTTTTTTAACTGAATGCAGAGCTAAAGGTGCAGGCGATATCAATTTTTTAAAAGAAAAAAATGCTTATTTTATGGCAATTGCAACAATTCACAGCAATAAAGAATTTTACTCTAGTATAAAAATATAGTATTTTTCTAATTAATAATAAAAATATTAAGCTTGAATTCCTAAAAATAGATTCAAAATTACAAATGACCCTGTCAACATAACGACCCTGTCAACGAAATGATACTTTCGAGGAAATGACCTTGTCGATGAAATGAACGAGATCCACCCGTGTGTTGTGCTGTGGGTATAGATGGCAATCATCGATTTACATTGCTCACTGCTTTTCAGTTAACAGGAAAGATACTTTAAAAGAGGATCAATGAATCAATTTATTTCCAGTGCGCATTTTTCCATTCTGTTTACATTTATTTTCCTCAAACTTGAAATATTGATAAAATCTACGATTATAATTTCAGTTACATTAATTTATTCTTTCGATCTATTTTGATTTATTTTTGTAGAGTGATTGTAGCGCTGAGATTGTAAATAGCAGATCGCAGAGGTGTAACTAGCCTATTGGCATTATAAAAATTAGCACCCGTTTTTAAGTCAAAAAGTCGTTGTTTCAGAAGCGTACTCTCATTAATTTTCTTTGCGAAGCCACAGTGAGTTATTTTAGTCTATATTTTATAACCGTCGTTGAACAGCCGACCCAATTTTGTATTTACGACTACTAAAGTTCAACTCCTTAGCCTTGTAATCTTGAACCCAATCCAGAAGATAAGGGAGCTCCCGTATCAAGTAGTGAGAGAAATTTGCCTGCGTGGAGGATTTTATGATGGAACGAACCAGCATTCGCGATACATGGAGAGAGAAAACCATGAAGTCCTCCTACGGTTAGCCCGATGGAAAAGGGACTCTAACCTATGATCCGTTAACCACTGAGGATATTTTACGTCAGCACTGTGGTCGGTGCTGATTTCGTATCGACCAGCCACCGCTGGGATTTGAATCTGGTTCACCCAATTGGAAGGTGAACTCTCTATCCCCTGGGCCACCACGACTCCGCGATGAGTTATTACTGTTTAAAATCATTCCTTTCAATCAAGTGGGGAAAATTATGAAAAATTACTAAGTTTACTGTCAATTATAACATATTAAAACGCTATCAAATAAAAAACTAGCAAATACATTATTAAAGCTTGTAAGATTTCTGTTAAACATATCTAATACAAAATATTCGTATTATCTGTTCTTTACATATTTTTAGTATTATCCTCATAGAAGTAGTCATTATTAGAGTCTATATATTTAGAGTTTCAAATTAGTATTTAAGTGAGAAAGGAAAATAGGTACTTAATAAATAAATTATGCAAATCAGTAACGAGAGCAATCATCGCATAGGTGGCAATAAAGTAATTGAATCTAGTTTATTTGATTGTTAAAACTCGAAATTACCCTCACGTCTATTTAAATTTTTTTTCAACAACTGATTTTGATTATTTTAATTTTCCATTTACGATGATTAACTTCGATTATGGTTCAAAAGATACTGATAACTTCCTTGTTTTTTTTTTCCTTACTTTAATACTAACTTGCGATCCATAATTTTTATTTAATTTTTCAGAGATTATACAGTATATATACAGTGCGTGCAATAAAAATGGAGCACTTTAAAAACTATCGATAGAAAGATTGAATTTTTACGTTCTAAGAGGCACTCTTAATGGTTCGAGAATCTAACTTTAAAATAAACTGCTCAAAACAATTAAAGAGTATTGAGGTTTGGGTTGTTGATGGACGTAGAAGGCTAAATTAGAAAAGAATGACATTTGTTTCGCAGGCAGAAAAAAAAAGTGTTTTATTGAGCATTCGGGTACAAATGAGAAAAAAAGAAAGAAAAAATTTTTGTATATGAGAAAAATAAATAAAAAAAAGATGTTTCCCCATAATAAAATCGTTTTTAGTAAGGAATATGGTTTCCTCGGAAGGCCAGCAACGCTGAACACCTTTGAGGCATCGAATTAATGAGGGGCTAGGGTATTCTGTCCCACTCCTCCCACTTTCCAGTTCTTAGAGAGTTTGTGAAGGTGGTAGACTTCCAGGGAATTCGTTTGCCTAGAATGTCCCAAACATGTTCCATTGGGTTCATGTCTGGAGAACACAATGGCCATTCCATTCGTATCATTCCTTCCTCCAAAAGGAAGTAATTCATCAAGCTAGCATGATGTGGTTTTGCAATTTTCATTCAGAAACATGATCTCCAATTGCTGCAGCGTAAGGGACTATAATAGGTCTTAGGATCTCATTCCTATATCAGCGACCGGTCAGAGCTCCATTTCGAATGATATGGAGATCGGTGCACCCATCAATGGAGATGTCAGCACCAGCACTGTCCCACAGCCAAATCTTACACTTCCGTGCACAAATTCTGGATTGATTTAGTGCCAAATTCCCTCCAGATGAAAGTACATCTATTATCAAGATAAACAGAGAAACGGGACTCGTCATAGAAAAAAATATTGCGCTATTCATTTCTCCTCCAGATGGCTCTGTTGCTCACTCCCTGCTGGCGCGACGGTGCCTTACTGATAACATGACATACACCATTAGTCGGCAATCATTACAGCATGTTTCAGGCGGTTTCGGACTGTTTATGTCGAAACTGTGAGGCCAGTGGCCGAGCGAAGGTGTATTTGAGGAAGAGTGGCATTCATATTTCGGTGTTTCCGAGTCGTTAGCGTTAAATAACAGTGGGCGTTGTTGCACGTCTGCTCCTTTGCCCTGATCTTCGGCCTGCATCTCCAGTCTCCAAAAAAAAAAAAAAAAAAAAAANAAAAAAAGATTCTAGATCCTGGAAATTACACATTACAAACTGTAATGACTTCTGCTATTCCGACTTGTTTTTGGCCTCCCTCTAATCGGACAACAACTCTCCAAGCTTCTGATTCAGTTCAATGACTTCGTTTAGACATCGCACTCATCGAAATAATGCGCTTACTAAATGCAGATAATTTGTTCTGAATTGTTGTTGTTGTTGCTCATTTACGTCGCACTAGAGCTGCACAATGGGCTATTGGCGACGGTCTGGGAAACATCCCTGAGGATGATTCGAAGACATGCCATCGCAATTTTGTCCCTCTGCAGAAGGGATGGCATCCCCGCTTCGGTAGCCAGACGACCTGCACGCGAAGTCGAGCACTTTACGGTAGAACAGTTTAACGAGGACCCATACCACACACCCTCGGTTCCAACGCAGGCTGATCCAAGTGGTCACCCACCCGCACACTGACCGTAGAGAGTGATGCTTGACTTCGGTGATCTGCTGGGAACCGTGTCTTAATGATCAGTCCACTGCGGGACTGTTCCGATTTGTCTTACATTAAGTTGAAAGTCAAATCAAATTCGCGGCTGCTAAAGCGTTGTCTTCGACGGCTGCGAAGTTTGAAAAAACTAAATGAACCTTGACGTTTTTACTAACTTGGTGACAAACTTTAAGTTTTAGAATGAGATGGATTTTCCTCGTCATGGATTTCATCTTTGAAGCGATGAAAGCTACAAGCTAATAATTTTCAAATTATAAAAGAAGTAAAAGTGAACAACATATCAATAAACAATCATGAAAACTGTTGTGCTGTTTGTTTTTTGGTGAACAAAATTATGATGTTATCTCACTTACTTATATTCTCTTCTCGAGGTGATATCCTGATTGAAGAAAAATGTATCCTTTCTACTTTTGATAAAAAAAAAAAAAAAATGAATATAGTAATATACAAGGAATGGTTGGTTGGTTGGTTAGTTAAAGTTTAATGGCACAAGAGCCAGAAGTGGCTATACTGCGCCAGTCACTAGGTAAAAGAATAGCACTTTTTCTTATATTACTGAATACAGTCCTATTGTTTTGAAGAACTTGATTAAATTGTGATGTATAGGATCACTAAGTAGGGATGAAAGATTGGGATAAAATCTGCCGAAAAGTTTCTTCCTCAAATATTTGAATCGTCTGCAGTTAGTTAATATGTGTTTAATTGAAACGTCAACTTGACATAGAGTACAGCTGGGTGCAGGTTCGGCTACCAGTAAATGCATATGCGTAAAACGAGTATGCCCGATACGTAGTCTGTTTATTAAAGTCTGGGTTTTGCGATCAACAGTTAATGTCTTACAATTATCAAGATTAGGATAAATTTCATGTAATTTATTATTATTTTGTCTATTCCAATGATTTTTCCAGGCTTCATGAACTGAAGATTTACAAATGTGTTTGAGGTTCAAACATGTCAAGAGATTACTGCTTAAGTTTTGAGTAGTTTTAGCTATGATATCAGCACGGTCATTTCCAAGAATGCCGACGTGTGAGGGTATCCAACAAAAATATATGTTGAACCCTCGGACTTGCAATTGCATAAAGTGGTTTTGTATTTTTTGAATTATGGGGTTTTTTCCAATGTAAAGAACACTAGATTACAAGGAATGGAGAACTTTATTACTTTATTTTACAAATGTCTCTAAAACTACCGTCGAGCATAATATTTTGCGCGTATGTTCTCATTTAAAATGAAAAGGAGTTTCTTTTATTATATTTTTTTATTCATGAGTAACAGTAATTCTGTTTAATAAAGTATTAAATTGATTTATTCAAATATTTGTTAAACACTTAATTTTAGCACTTTGTTTTAACGTATTCAAACAATACATTTGTTGAATAAAATTTATTATTTTTGTTTTCAATCTCACTTCTCATGTAATTGTGGTTTATTTGAAATATCAATTTTTTTTTCGTTTTAAGAAACAGAAAAGGCGCTTATTATTAAATTAGAATTGGATATATTTTAGTATTCCCCCATTAAAATTTTTTTTAACGGAATAAGTTTAAATTTAAAAAAAAAAAACGTAAATAATAGTGAGACTGAAATCTGTGTTTAGCTAAAATAAAATATGTAAATATCATTGTCAAAATAATAATAGCTTGAAATAAGTGCATCTAATGCTACTCTTACATCTAAAAGTACTCTTAATAAAGTACTCTCAAGAGCACTTAAAAGTACCCTCAAGCACAGGGATATTTCCATATCGTGATCTATAGCAGAAACTACAATCGTCAAAGTGGCAATTTTTTTTGAAGAAAACATGTAAATGTTCAACTGTTCAGGGCTACGAGTTATACTTTTCGAGTTGGTCCCTTTCTGTGATGTTTTTTTTCGAAGTTTCTCTCAGGCTAAGAAAACATAGATTATTCTGACACAGATCACAATATGGAAATGTCCCCCAAGTGCACAATTTTTTAGATTTAATTAGACACTAAGTCGACGTATACAGGCATTATTATACTTATGCTGACAAACTAATGATATTTAAGTATTGGTGTCTGTTCACACCAAGTATAATTGGCAAAGTGCCAAAGGGATCTCAAACGGTCACTACCCTGTAGTTATGAAGATTTGGCAAGTTTTCTGCTGCAGATCACTATACAGAAAATTTAAAATATCAAAAATTTAAATGAAAAAAATTAAGAAGTTTGCTTTTGGGTGTCTCGAGTTATACCCTTTTTTTTGGATCAGACTCTAATTTGGAAATCTTGCTGAAAAATCTTACACAGATCATCTCCCCACACTTTTCTTCACCTGATTTTATTTAATATATATTTACCTTTCATGTTACTGTGAAATATGATAACTTATGTTGGTGCTTCATAACTTATGCTTTTTTGTCAGAAGTTATGAAATTAACTGAAACTAAGATCGTTATGATATACCTGAACATGATTTGAGGTCATTAATAAACATTGTTTTGAAACAAAAGCCAAGTCAATACTCACCTTATTTTGTAAGTATGATACTCTTTTCATATTCAGTAGCTGTATTTCGCAATTGCATGATTATGATAACGAAATTGTTTTACACTATGATATATTAATTGTTTAATTAATTTTTATGTCAAATTTTTTTGGAGTATTTTTAAATAAAAAACTATTAGATCTTTTAGCATCTGGCAACGGACAAGGACTCCCATTTGAGCAAGGGGCAAACCTCATCCTATGCCTATTGGTTTAGGTCCTCGTGCATAAAAAAAGTTGCTTTTTATTGTTATTACAAGGTTCAAACGCAGCTGGAAAATCGAGAATGGCCAGGGAAAATGAGATTCAAGGGGAAAAAAGATAATTTTACTCCAAAACTGGCAATTGTCAGGAAATTTGATTCCCTTTCAAATTGCTGGATTTCGCATTTCTCTTTTCAACCGTAATTTGTGTTAGTGCAATCGAAGATTCCAAACAAAAAAGAAATAATAATTAGATTTTTTTCCAGATCAACCGTTGTTAAGTATATCCTCTAGATTTTATTATACTTAGAGTTTTTGCCGCGTTGTCATTCAAATTTTCGAGTAAGGAACTTGAAACTTAAGAACACTTGACATGTTAGTTCTTATTTTTTATTTTTTAAATCCACTTGTTAGAGCTTTTGGCTATTCAATGCTATTTATTTTAATCCGTGATTATTACATTTACATTGTTTTCTGTTTTATTTTCATGCACATAGGTAGGTGATCATTCTATGCATTATTATAATCTATATTCTAAATTGAATGTGTTTTAAATTTTTTCTTTGATGATTTTTTTTTTTATGATTGTTCAATTCATTTTACAGAAATACAACAACATTAATGGATATGCTATTAAAAATGAAAAAGTAACTTATTTAGCTGTAAGCAAAAAAGAGTTGCCTACTATTATAATTTTGCAGTTTTTAGAAAAGTAAGTTCATTTTTTGGTTGTTTAATTTAGTGTCACATTACATCAGAGCACTCGTATTTCTTAATGTTGTCATTGCTTTTGATTTGTTTTTTTCACTCATTTTTGTGCGTGAAAAGTCTTCTTAGTTTTTGTGAGATTATTTTTATTATTTTTTAACACTATAAAATATAAAGTAAGTGTAGTTTTTTTTTAAAAAATAATTTTGATTGATCTCATTTATTTCTGGTTACAATTTCTTTATAAATAAATGATACTCTGCAATTTTTTAAATAGAAATTTGATTACATTTTCCTTTGTAATAATTACTACCGTATAATTATTAAGCATAGTGGTTAGTACCCTTAGGGGGTATGATTGTTTTACTATGATGTCAAATCTTTGAACAATTTCTCTATGACAGGACCTTTTTAGCATCTCTATTGAATAATTTTTTGCGGGCTATTTTAATTCTATTTTACCATATCATTGGTATTTTAAATGCTTTTATTCTTCCTAAGGCAAAAACAGGGTTACCACTCCACAGGGAGAACAGGGAATTATTTTTGATTCTTTCTTAACGAACTGGGAAAATGCGGGAAACTTCGTTTCTAATTTTTTTCTTTTAAAAAATGGCGACCACTCAAAGTGCAATCTAGAGGATATTTAAGCATGATATTTAACTATACTAAACTATTTTATTTACTACAGCATTATTTGAATAGGTTCAGCTGTTCCTTTTTCCAGCAATCGAAACTAATTAATATAGTGAGCCCAATATAGCTCACATAAGAGCACCGTAATTGTTGTGTTTCCTCTGAATATATTGTGTACAGGGAAAATGCAGGGATTTTTTTTTCCAGATTTGAGGGGCAACCATGAAAAAAAATCAACACGAATAAAGCCCAAATGAAAATACAGAAATTGGCATATTAATATGTCAATTTTTTAACTCTCACCTGTCATTTATTCATATATAATTTTTTTTGCTTTAGTCTGCATTGGAGCACAAAGTATATCTTATCTTTTTTGTAATATTGGCTTGTAATATTTTTTCTGTAAAAAAATGAATTAAAAAATACATTATTTTATCTTAATAAAAAGAGAAATCAAAAATCATGTATAAAGTAGTTACATACTACAATTCTAAAGGAAAGTTGTGCAGCAGAAATTCCATAAGAAAATTGAAACCAATAGAAAAGTTTTTAGAAGAAATTAATGAAAAATATAAAAATGACAGCCGAAACTGACGTTGTCAGGGGATACCAGCTCCGGAAGTCATAAAGACACAAAACCTTTTCTATCGAGAGAGCATGACAAATGTCTAAAAATTGCTCTCTCGGTACCCCCAAAGGTTTTGTAAAAAGTCAAGGAAGAAAGAAAAGAAACGCAAAAACATAATACAAAAATAAAATACATAAATTACAGAAGGAAAACAATGTTAAAAAAGAGCTACTTAAAAATATTCCTATTTCAAACACAATGTTCAAAAAAGCTACTTAAAAATATTCCTATTTCAAATTCCTATTTGTGTGTTTTGGTTTGAAATAGGAATATTTTCAAGTAGCTTTTTTGAACATTGTTTTCCTTTTGTAATTTATGTATTTTACTTTTGTATTTCTTTTCTTTCTTCCTGAACTTTTTATAAAACCTTTGGGGGTCGTGCTCTCTTGATAGAAAAGGTCTTATGTTTTTATGACTTCCTGATCTGGTACGACATAAACTTCGGCTGTCATTTTTATATTTTTCATTTTCATCTTAAAAATGTTCTATTATTTTAACTTGCTTATTAAATTAATATAGCAATATATTTTGCAGTATAATTGATATCTGATGGCCACACACTGTTTTATTTATATTCTTTATATTTTGCAGTTTTCATTCATTAATAAGGAATTTTTGTGGAGGTGCTTCAGAAGATTATATTAACCGAAATTTACTCCTAGTTTATGAACTTATGACAGAGTGTGTGGTAAATATATTTTCTTTTTTAGTTTTACAAGTTTCTTTTTTGGGTTGCATTTTAAAATGGTTTTAATTTGTTATTCATGTAACTGCGAATTGTTTTGAAAATTATATATTTTTTATTAATAATTTTAGATACATATTTTGTCATTACAAAATTTTTGTTGCTTAGAATAGAATAACGACATAAATTTTGCCTCCAGATAAAAGTAACAACTAAATAAGTGTAAAATTTATGTTGGTATTTCTTAATCATAATTGAAAGCACAATTTAAACCAATTGGATTAAAAAGTTGTAGCCTGGCTTTTTTCTAAAAAAAAAAAACAACTTTTTAATTAATTAATTGTTAAGTATTTTTACTCTGGAGGGAACAATAATGAGAAAATTTCCTAGAATTGTTTTTTTTTTTTTTGATTTCAAGTTTAATTGATTCTATGAATCGCTATTAATTTAAATGATGATAGATGAATAAATATTTTCATATCATTGCATTATTACATTGTATTATGTATATATCATTGCAGAAGCAAAAATATCTACATGAAGTATTAATAATGAGCAAATTAAGGTTAAGTAATGATAATTCTAAAAATTCTTTAGATAAAATAAATCATCTCCAGTTCCATGTTCTGATATTTTTTATAGTTAGCTAAATAAAATAATTTATTGGACAAGTTGAAATAAAACCTTGGAAAAATTTCCCCCACATCTTTTTAAAGATACTTTGAACTTGCTACAATTAAATGAATTAATGGGAATGAGGTAATTTTCTGAATTTTACGCTTTATTTATTTATTTATTTTTAAATATTTTTCTGTGTCAGTGTAAACAATTTTGTGTTATATACATATTTATTATAGTTTTATTCATTATTGTGTTATTTTCAATATCTATATTTATATATATACACACACAGGGTGTTAATAAATTCCCGGACCCATTTTGATGTTTAATAACTCATAAAATAATGAAGATATAAACAAACTTATGGCATTTATTGATGGAATAACTCATATATTTTCCTTTTCAGGTTTGAATATCTTTACTTTTGTAAATATCGTTTGCTCATGTGGTTAATTTCAGATAATTTTATTTTCCAGTCTAAATATCTGTACTTTTCTAAATATCGTCTGCTTATTAATTGCATTTTCCCCTCTTTTGTTTTTGGCAATTATTGCAATGTTATGTTTACTTTTGATGTGTTTGTTCTATGTAGTACTTTTCTATGTGATGTTTTATTCGAGCGGATATTAAGGAGAATGCATACACCACAAGAGAAAGTACAGATTTTGACTTGCTTGCCGCTACCTGGCGGGAAATTGACTATCGACTTGATATTCTCCTTTTGACGAAGGGGGCATACGTGGAAGTTCATTGACAAGGGTCATGAAACTTCTTGAGTCTATCTAACCATTTATGTTATTAATTTTAATCTATCTTTATTATTTTATGAGNAGTTACTGCTTTCTATGATGCAATTTTAAATTTCTAATCTCGGCCAAATCTAATGGCTGAAGCGCACTTGTGCAATTTGCAGGAAAAATGAGAGCTTTTACATTTTCCAAAATAATTAGTATCGATGGGTGCGCTGGACATTGGTCGATGAATGGCAAAATTTTTCATGTTTGCCTCTTCATAACATTGTCTAGTTTTTTCAGTCATCTAGTAAAAATTACGGTCGTCATCCAAGCATTCTTGTTGGCACCCTTTTCTGTATCATTCATGTTGGCAAATTCCGCCCTTTTTTAAAATACACAAGAAAAAATAAAAAATTAAATAAACGTGAACAAAATCTAAAAACCGACTTATAACCGATTTTGTGCGTCGTATAAACGATATATTTTTACATTAAAATGAATAGGAATGATTTGGGACCACACTAAAACGTCGTATAAATGTAAACGTCGTATAAGTGATCGTCGTATAAACGATGCTCCACTGTATATATATTTATTTTTTTACATTAACAAAAAATTTTTAACGAAAAATATTTCTAACTCATGGAAGATATTTTCATTTCATATTATTTTATTTAATAATGTATTATATTAATAAGCATATTGTTTTACTTTAAACTTTATTTAATGTTGAAATAAATAATGAACGTATTTTATTCTTTATTTATTATCGAATAATTTATATGCATGTATTTATGTATCTTAATTATACTTTTAAACTAATTGCCTCAATATTTTATATTAGAATTTATATTGATTCCATAGATGAGAAATTAAAAAAATAATTTTTATGTTCAAGTTACGAGGGAATCACGCTATTACATTTTGTAGGCATAATGCTGACATAGCATTTTTATTTGCTGGTTAAGTCGAGTTGCAAAGTAATATATAAGCATATTTAAAATCTTAAGTTGCTGCTTTTTTAAATCATGATAGCATGATAACAGAACAGCAGTGCATATTTTTGAATTGTTAATCGAAAATATAAATTAATAGTAGCTAAAAAGATACAATAAATTCTCTTTAAAGGTTTAGTAACTTTTAATTTGGGACTTAGGTGTTATTTAACCCTTTGTTTTACATAACTGATATAGAAAAGAAAAATTAAAACAAAAAAAATCATGGTTTATAGAAAAGCACAGTTTTTGAAAATGAAAAACCTGATTTTAGCTATTTATTAATTAGATTACTACTCGTCCAATTGTGCATATTATTACTTTTTTTAAACATTTGATTTTTCTTATTTCTGATTTGCCTTTAGTGAACTGATTTTTTTTTTGGTGGGGGGAGGGGCAAGAAATAATGTGTTACATTTTTATTGTTCCATTTAGATACTAATTTTGTATGATTGATAATTTTTCTTAAATGATATTGCAAGTATTAATGTCAGATATACATTATCATCTTGTTCAACTTATTCCATTAACCTTAGTTTTGTTCTTTTATCTGCTATTTATTGTCCCCTTGGGATTTATTATAGCCACACAAAATACTAAAGCAAAATTCAAAAAGGTTTCTTATTTTATAAAAATTTTATTAATTTACAATTAAAATATATTTGATTGATGTTAATACTTGTAGTTGTCTATTTATGTTTTCACTTGTTGCTATTTCTTGATAGGATAATGGTGTTATCAAAGCAACTTCAACCGAGCAAGTCCGCCATTCAGTTTATAGCGATCCAGTTTTTACGAAGATAAGCTTTAAATCTGAGGTGAAAAAACCAGGACCTGTAAGTTCTTTTTTTAATTCCTACTATTAGTTCGCACTCTCCCCATATATTGTTCAAATTTTCAATTGTTAATAAAATACTTTTTCTTCATCCACTCAAGTTCAAGTACATTTCTTTTAAACTTGTAGTGGGTGACACTTGATGTTAATACAGTTTTTTCAAATATTAATTCATTCATTAAATTTGATTAATTAATTTTAGTTTTATATGAGAGAAAAAATTTTAATTATTTAATAAAAAGTAACAAAAAGGAAATTTTTCTTTGTTGACCTAATTAGGGAATGACATAAATTTTTTTTATATCACTTGTTTATTATTATTTTATAATTAATTATTATTTTAAATTAGATAATTTAATTTTGGTTACAAATTGAAATAAACAATAAATAAAATTAGAAATGTTTTGAAATTCGTCCGAATTTAAAAATTTCATCAGAGGGTAATTATGTTTTTTTTCCATAAATGATTGATTTGCTTATCAATCATAATTGTTTAAATAATATAAAATAAAATGTTAGTAAAGGAATGAAATATGTTATATATATTTTTGTTAAAAATCTTGTGCAAAAAGTGTATAAGTTACCATATTAAAAAAATAAAAAAGGTTAGTGGACAAAAAATTTTAATAAGTTTTTTCTAATATTGCTTCATTAATTAAATGTAATTAATTAATTTTAGTTTTATATAGGAGAACAATTATAATTTTTTAATAAAGAGTAACTGAAATAAAATGTTTCTTTATCGACCTACCTAAGTATTATTGACTTTACCTTTTTTTTTTACATTACTTGTTTTTTCACCTCTTTGTATTGAGGCATATATTTTTTAATACTGATTTCATGTCTCTTTTTATTGAAAAGTCTTAGGTGTTCATTTATTAATTTTTGTTGATGATTCAAAATTTATAACGTAAGTTCTATAAATTGGGAACAAATATTCTATAAATTTGATAAGTTTTATTAAGGGCTTGAAGTTGTCCTCAAATTCCTTAATTTCCTTAAAAAAAAAAGAAAGTGTCCTTAAATGTCCTTAATTATTAAACATTTCAATAAATATCCTGAAATTTTTGCATTTTCAAAATTGTTGAAGTTAAAAGCAAGAATAAATATTATTTATCTAAAAAAAATTTTTTAAATCAACTGCTGTCTATTGGAATTTCAAATTCAAAATTATTTTTATATGCCATGAAACAATGTTTATAACAAAATGAATGCCTAAGTCTTCATAGCGTGTCAAGTATGGTATTAGTTTACTTCCATTGTTAGAGACAATTACCCTTGTTTTGATGAAATCGAACATTGCATGTGGGAGAAATATATAAAAAGCTCTTATCTCTCAATTTCTCCTCCATCACTATATCATACTCTTCTGATTTTCATTAGAGAATCCTAATATTTTGCTAATTAATAATTTTATATATATATATGTGTATAAAAAAACAAAGTTTTTTTTTAAATAAAAAATCTGAGTTTTTGTAAAAATGTTTCCTTTTTTTACGTAAGTGCAGGAACTACTGAAACTAATTACCAATTGTGTATCTTTCAATCCATGCCGCTAACCTAGAAATTGCTCCCATTAGCGAATCAGCGTTCTTAAATTGTCCTTAAATTTGGAGGCAACTTAGTCCTTAATTTTTATATTTTGGACTTCCTGCCCTGTTTATTTTATACAATTATCTAAATTTTTATGTTTTTGGGTGCCGTAACAAAGTTATTTTCCATAAAGATGTAATGCAATTTCAGAGCAGTAATAATGTTAATTTATAAAGATTTGAAAAAGGAGGCACAGACTATGGGCCTTTTGGTTAATAGGGAACAAAGAAATAAAGAGTAGCAAAGATTCAATTGGGAAATCAATCTAGAGGGAAAGAGAAGGATAAAAAATGCCCTAAAAAAGATGGCTATAGTTTGTCTAAAGTAAGAATTCCCCATGCCATTCATCTGGACCCGTGGCGGTGACTATGGTAACAAGAAATAACTATTTGAAGTAGGGGTGTGGGATCATTGCTTAGGGCAGGTTTTGGTTCCGGTCATCGAGAGAAAGGGAATCTTATTCTTCGATCTATTGTGTTAGCCCTAGTGTGAAGAGAAGCTACCCTCCCTGAAATGCACTATTCTTGTTTCCATAGCAGCAGATAGCCTCAGACTTAGTGGCGGGGGGAGTTCTTACTGTAGACAAACTATAGATGAGGTAGAGGGAAATTTAAAAAAAATTAAAAACTGGAAGATAAAAGCTGAGGAGAGGAAAAAGTATAGTTTTGTAGCAAAGAAGGCCAATGTCCATCATGGACTGCAGAGTCAAGACATAAGATAGTAATGGTAGTGAATATCAAATTCTAAGCAATTTAAGTAATAGTTCAAGATCGAGTGTTAAGTTAGGAAGTTTTTGCCTTATTGAAATTGATAATTTGCTAAGAGTGAAATGTAAAATGTAAACTTATCAAAGTAATCAGTTTATCAACATGTTTTATCATAGTTTGGTAAATAAAAGAGAAAAAAAATTCATATTCTAATTTATTCTTTCTTTTTTTTAGTTTGGGCTGGAAAAAAAATTTATTCCTAATCTGGCTGCCGAAAGACCATTAGTAAAATCTAGATCTGAGCTGATGGTATTTTTTGTCTTATGTATATTTTTTTATATTAGATTCTCTATTTAATAAATATAATTTATGTAATCTTTGAAGAAAGAAACATCAGTTAATGCGTGATTTTTTTATGCAAAACTACTTATTAAGTACAGTGCATCAAGTTCAAAAAAATACCTTAATTATTTTTGATGCAACTAAATAATAAATAATAGAACAAGAAATAATTTCTCAAAATAATGATAGGTATGAAACTCCATAGATAAACGAGTTTTGTGCAATTTTTTATTTTCTCAAATAGTTCTAAAGACATATGCAAAAAGTAAAATTAACATTAAAGAACCAAACATTCAACTGTTTTCTATTGGGATCAGATGTAAGGGATGTCCTCCTTGAGGGTTGAGATAGATAGGTTATTTGAAGACGTTTTTGTGACTGATTTTGCTGTTTAAAATATCGTCTATACAAATTTATTAGCATAATTTAGATCGTTAATAATTCTCAAGTTTTTATGTTAACATTTTATGTTAGTACTGAAAATCTAATCATTAGGTCAAAAGTTTTTCAGCTGTTACTTTCTTTCTTTGCCCCATTGAAACTTTTGGCATTGTAACTTTTGTTTTAGATTTGTTATGCTTGTTTACTGTAAATAAATAAGATTTTGAGTATTGACAAGTTATTAGTAAAAATCCTCAAATTCATCGTTTTCTAGTTTTTGATTAATTTGTTTTATTAAATGTAAAAGATTTTATTTGCTTATACCAGGAATAAAATAGGAAAAAGTAATAGTAAAGTAAGAATCTATTTCAGTTTGTTTGATAAATTTTTTTTTGCATTTTAAAAGTTTAAAATTCTTATTATCTGCAGATATGTAGATATCTGCAGAAATGTAGATATCTGCAGATATGTGTATATGCAGATATCTTTAGATATGTAGAAAAAGCACTTTTTTTGATATATATTTTTACTAAATTATTCTGTTGACAAATTTGTAAGGTGTTATTGCACTGCTTCAGTCTATATCATGCAATGTATATGACAGATTAAAACTTGAATTAAAATTGCTTTTTGGATTATGGATTAAAATTCCTTTACAAAAATTTTATTAGAAGCACTTTGTAAAAATATTTTACCCAACAAAACTGTAGGATGTGTAATTGTTGAATAATAAAAAATTCAAGTACATAAACTATTTGAAAATGAGTTATTGTTCCGTGAACTTTTTTTTAAAGATTATTCCACTTTAATTGAAAAAAAAATAATAATTCAGAAGGCTCTAAAATTATAATGCTAGTAATATTAGATCCCTATAATATTCCTTGTATTTTGTTTTTCTAATAACAATACTTAAATTTCCTTTTTTTGTAATAAACTCATGAACTCTTAAAATAGTTTTGGCATTTGTAATTTTTTTTAAGCAAATTTTTAGCAGTTATTTTATAGTTAAAAGAAATTTAACTCTGAAATTTTAATGTTTTAACTGATCCAAATAAAATACAACTAATTTCGTGTGAAAATTCTTCATTTTTCATGTTAAAATGAAAGAAGACAGAAACTAGTGGCTATTAAACAATTTGAAGTATCGAAGAAAGTGCATGCTGTATCACAGAGCTTTTTAAAAACATTTCTTCTTTATTTATTTAGTTTTTTTCCTTGCCCCAAAAAGTTAAATTTACTAAATTTTTGATTTTTAGAACTTGAAAAATGAAGTGTTTGTAGATGTTATTGAAAAAATAGTGGTCCATCTTTCTAAAGAGGTAATAAATTATTTGATTACAAAACATAGTTAGTTTAAAATTTTACAACATTAAAATTGTTTTTTATTTATAATGCAAACATTTTCTTTTTTAAAGCACATTTGCTTTAAATATACTATTTTGTAAGAGCTTTGAATATTGTTACAAATTTTGTTGCTTTAGCAAACCCCAAATAGTTTTATTTTTCTTTCTAAAATACTTTTCCTCCTACAAATATTTTGTGTAAAAGAAATATAGAATGAATAGTCTTATTTTTCCTTCTACAAAAATTTTTTTTTTAATGAAAGGAATATTCGTGCATATTTTATTTTTTCATGTATGTATTAAAATTGTTTTTATTTGAAATGTAAAAAAATTATTTTAAGGCACATTTGCTTTAAAAACATAAAAATATAATATTTTGTTAGAGCTTTGAATATTATTACAAGTTTTGTTGCTTTAGCAATCTCCTAATAATCTTATTTTTCTTTCTACAAAAATATGTTGGAAATTTTTGTTTTTAATTCTGTAAGGGAGCGTTAAACTGCATGCGACTTTGCTGGAAACACTTTTTATCAATATCTTTTTGATAAGCTAAAATATTGCCAATTTAGATTCAGTTGATATGGGCAATGAAGTTATTTTAAACTTGTGGTTTTTGCACTAAAGATAAAGTTACTTCTCTGTACCGAACCAATTCCTGATCAAAATATAATTATAATAAATATATAATTATTATTAATTTCATATTGAAAAAATTCTGCCACAGGGCTTTCAAGCAACCTAATTTTTTTTAAAAAATTGCATACATTGTAAATTGAATTATTTATTATTTTTAATTATGAAAAAGTGTAATTACTTAATAGTTAATGGGTTGATATGTCACTTCATGATAAAAAATATGTCCCTAACTAGAGAATGTATTTCAACTTTTTGTTCAAAGCTTAGACTTGTTGGTCAAGGAAATGCATGTGAGTTCCACTCCCATTTGGGAATGGAACTCACATGCATTTATAATAATTTATGTAAGAAATAAACTATGCTTTTATAAATTTTTCACATGCATTGGTGAAAATTTATAAAGGCATAGTTTATTTCTTACATACATAATCCTTGCGTAATTGTTTTCACATTATGTACCGAAATTTATGTTTAAGTGCTGTTTATGGGTATATGGTTTTTAAAACAATATTAAGAGAAGACCTTAGAACTTATGACTTCCTTTATTGGACTGCTATCACATTCAAAACGTTTTGATTTCTTGAATTTGGTATTTTTACAATTTTACAAATTATTCCTTACCTGGAAATTTTCTGAATATCATTTCTTCATCTATTTTCCTGAAAGTGCAATGCCATCATTTGTTAGATATTCATAGAACAATGTTAGGTAGTTACAAAATGTTTTATTGTATTGGGGGATTGTTGAAACAAATTGAGACTTTTTTCTTTTTAGTTCAAAATTATTTTCTGTGCAATTTATTGTTTTGTTTTTCTTTATGATGTATATTTTTTATGGAAATAATTATTTAAAGAGTTTTTTATTAAAATGATTGAGAAATAACACTGTAAATACCATCTGAAATAATATTTTGAACTGATTAGTAAATTTTTGGTAGTTAGCTACTTTCTTAAAAAAAGTTGCGGAATGTGCTTTTTAAGATTGGTATTTCTTTAGATTTATTTCTCTCTAAAAGGAAAAATTTCGAGAATAAAGAATAATTTGACTAAGAACTATTGACCTAAATGGCTACAGCTCTTTGTCAATTAAACTTGGGTGCTCTAGTTAATGATGTTTTGTTATATTGTAAAGTTATATATATCACAATGAATAAATACAAAAAGGACAAAAAGAAAAAAGAGAAAAATGAAGAATTAAAAAAATCCATAAGTTTTGTTCGCTGCACATAAGCTACAAGTATATAGAACTTATAAAAAAAGTTCAAAATGTTGAGGAAACATGTAAAAAATTACAGAATAATGAAAAAAGAAAATTATTTAAAAAAATTAATAAAAATCCAGGAAAAAAAGATATAATCTGTTCATCAGCTCACATGATTATATCTGCAGAAAGGAGTACTTTCCAATATTGTATCAATATAGCCAAGGAAAAATATATCAATACAATTGTGTGAGGAGCACTAAAAAAAATTGCGGATGTAATCGTGTGAGCTGATGAAGTGATTGTATAATTTTTTTTGCCTCCAGATTTTTATTAATTTTTTATTCAAATTTTTTTTAAAAATGATTTTCTTTTTCCATTATTCTGTAATTTTTTCCATGTTTCTCTCTATGTTTTGAACTTTGAGCAAAAATTACAAAATATAAACTAATTTTTAAAAATGGCTGTTTAATATATACATAAAACGGCTATTTTTAAAAATTGCTTTATATTTTGTAATTTTTGCATAACAATTATTCTTTTTAGAAAAATTGTTTGAAGCACAGACAATGCCTAAAAAAATATTGCATGATATTATAAGACTAAAAATGATCATTGGCAAATAGCATCTTTTGTAACTGCACCATATCAGTTGAGTTCTATAAAATTGTCTTTGTACAGTTCAAAATTTAGTACATATAATATAAAATCTTCTTGTTTTTAAAATTGTGTTCTATTCTTAAAGAATTTTTTTTTCAACTTTGGATCAACTATTTTAAGTAAGATATGATCTTTTAACTTTATAAATGTAATTTATTTTGTGTTAATTTGGAAACTTTTCATCATATTGTTTTTTGGAATTAATGTTTGTAGTAGTTTTTAATTAAAAAAAGTAGTTTTTCTTTATTTTACTAACTGTTAAATGTATCATTCGTTTTTTAAGCATAGCTTGATGAATTTTTTATCATTTTAAAACTTATTTATTTTCAGGGAATAATTCAAAAGTACAAATTGCATGGAATGATACTCATGAAAAGCTTCTTACCGCTTAGTCATAAAATAATTGTGAATTTAGAAGATAATTTAAAACAAGGTGACGTAATGAAAGGTAATTTTTATTTTAGCAAAAATTTTTAACTGGTTGTTTCTTTATTTTTAAAAACTTAGAAGATTGATTATTTTTATTGACTGATATCCTTATTTATTTACTGTTTTATTATTTATAAGTAACAACCTTTTTTTAAAAAAAAGAAATGTGTAATATTTTGTTTTCATAGTTTGTATCTGTATGAAGTTATAAATAGCAATAATGAATTCCTTAACTGTTTAACATTTGTTTTACTTTAGTTTAATTGTTTTTTTCGAATGAATAATTCTTTTCATTGATAATTATTTTGAATGCATGTTTTCTTTTGAAGTAAACATTTTCAATACTTTTTGCTTTTTGTGCATTGTTATACTTGATGGTTATGCAATTTTGTTCACCTTGACATTCAAGTGAGGATTGAGAAAACCTTTTCAAACAATTTTTTTTAAATAATCATCTTTTTTTTAATTTTATTTAAAAGAAGCTGTTTTTCTTATTCTATTATTTTTCAATCTTCTCTCTATCTGATTTGTTTTCATTCTTGAACTATGAATGTATTTTCCCCATATACAAATATATGCACATAAAATTTTTGTTGTAGCGCTGATTTTTGAGCAACATCATTTCAGCAGTTGCGTTGATGACAAAAACTTTGAGAAACACAGATCTTTTGTTGTAACGCCGTCCCAAGGTGAGGTTAGTAAGTTCTATTTTCTACATCGTTTTTACTTATTTTTGGCACTACATGCAAACTATTATTATATTCTTCGTTTTAACTATTATTTTTTTAATAAGGAAAAATATTTAAGCTATTTACTTGGTTATTTCTTTTGATAAAACATTTTTGTTTTGTTCTTATTTAAAAGCGTTAGTTTATTTACTGTTTTTATAATATTAGTATCTCCCACTTTTCGCAAACGCAATTTTTAACCCAACACTTGCAACTTTTTAGTGTCCACATTTTATACTTTTCGCAAACACACTTAAACTTTTTTTACATTGAACATGTTATCAAGCACGTAAAAAGGTATATAAAAAAAAGCAATTCCCCAATTGATTGTGTTTTACTTTAGTCAAATTGAATTTATGACCTATAACTGTCCGCAAGTGAACTGAGCAGCCAACAGCGCTCCCACCATCGCTTTCATTTTAATATGCCTATAACATAAAATTTGCATTAAAAAGTTTATGGAGTCACATGCAAGCAACTCTATGTAATTTGGAAATTATTTGTATGTTATTTTAATAATTTTTTTGCTTCAATTCCTCATTCTTTCTTTCACTTTTCCAAAGAATTTGATTAATAGCCTGCTCTACTTTAGATTTTTTATATTAATGTGATAGATACACAACTTACTGTTTTTTTTTAGCTTTCTTTACTATTTTTTTTAGCTTTCTTTAATATTTTTTTAGTGTTTTTAAGATTTTGTATAAGAATTTTAGTTTTAAAATTTCACAAAAGAAACATAGAGATTTCTTGGTATTTTTTTGTTAGAGTTAAGAGATGGATATTTAACTATCAAAGAAAAATAAGTGAAATTTAATTTTGCTAACATTAAATATTTTAGTCATCTGTATAACGAAAATAATTAATTGTTTCTTAATAAAAAGTGAAATAAAAAATCATGTATAAAGCAGTTAAATACAAATGAAAGTTACGCAATGCAGCAGAAATTCCATAAGAAAATTTAAACCAATAGAAAATTTAGAAGAAGAAAACAATGAGAATTATGAAATTAATGAAAAATATAAAAATGTCATTTTTATATTTTTCATTGTTTTCTTCTTTAAAATTTTCTATTTGTTTCATATTTTTTAATTGACTTAAATCATAATCTTAAAAATTACAATATTTTCTAGTGATATTGCATTTTTTTAGACATCCTGTCTTTTATGTGATGATAATATATTATGGTATATAATTGTTTGAAAATGTTAATGATGATTAATTTTTTTTCAGGTTAAAGCAATGACTTATTATTCCACGACTAGTGCTTCATTTGTGCCATTTAGACTTCTTTCGATTGTTGAAGATGTGGATAAAAACAGGTGATTTTCTTTTTTCTTAATTTCTGAGTATTATTAAGTTTGTTATTTAAAGAGGTTTTTTTTAAAAAATTTCAGTTTTGTATAATGATTATAATTTAAAATTTGGTTTGTAATAACATTGCTTTTATTCTAAAAATTATAATCTAAATTAGTTAATCATTTTAAATCCAAAAACATGTATTTTATAACTATTTTTGTTCTCACAAGTTACATTTTTTATTAACTTCTTTGCAAAGTAACTTTAGAAAATTTAGCCTCTTTTAGACCTTAGCAAGTATGCCAATTTTAGCATAATTTACAATGCATGTCAAAATATACTTTTTTTTAAAAATTTATTTTAAGGGATAATATTATGGATGTAAGAATAGTCTATTCAATGGTATTTGGTAATATTTTTCTTAAAAAAACTATCCAGAATGAAAATTGATTTTATGATCTTTTAATTCTTTTTCATATTATTCTGTAACTACTACTATATTGCAATGCAATGCAATGGAAAAATAAAAAAAAAGCTAGAAACCAGATGATTTTTTTTTTTGGAAAATTTTACAACAAAATTTATTTGTGTTAATCTTTGTATTTGTCAAAGAAGGATTTTTTAAACAAATATCTATAAAAATAGCTGTATTTTTTTATTAATGTATTTTCCTTGCTACAAGTAGGATAAATAATTTATTATTAATAATTCTTCTAATAAGCCATTTATATATATAAAAAATAACAGTCTGGTTTCCAAAGTTGACAGCTCACTGATCCTCCTAAATATTTTAAATGGCCAAATCAAACCTCATAAATTTTAAAATCAAATATTACTTAAAACATTTATAAATTATCCAAAGTTTACAACTATACACGCCAATAACTTCACAACTAACTCACTGAGTAAAATATTACTCATTTTATTAATGTCAGTAAAAAAAAATGAAATCAGTATTAACAAGCAATGTACCGTTACCCTTCAAACTTTGGCAAGGCTGTGATTTATTAATTGAATTTTGGTAACGGTTACCCAGGTTCAAAAATAGACACTTGAATAATGAAACTTTTAACAATAAAAAGTAAATTTTATTATAACTATAAATTAACAACAAACACAATCCCGATCATTTCCAGATGCCTTCATGTGCACTCAAAATTTCAATTTATACACTTTTAAATTTCCAAATGGTTATTCTCAAGATAAAACTTTTCGATAAAAAGCACCTTTAAATTTCATATGCATAACATTAAATTAATTCACACTAAAAGAGACATTTACGAAANTCCAAAGTTGACAGCTCACTGATCCTCCTAAATATTTTAAATGGCCAAATCAAACCTCATAAATTTTAAGATCAAATATTACTTAAAACATTTATAAATTATCCAAAGTTTACAACTATACACGCCAATAACTTCCCAACTAACTCACTGAGTAAATTATTACTCATTTTATTAATGTCAGTAAAAAAAAATGAAGTCAGTATTAACAAGCAAAATGCCATTATATTCTGTAGAAGCTTTTCCAGGGTTACAAATTACAATTAACCTGTAGTTACTCATATTGTTATTGCTTAAGAGAAATTTTTTAATGTATATGATAGATTATGGATATGATAGAGATATTCCACAATCTATTACAGGGCTGCCACCCCACAGGGAAAACCTGCAAAGTACAGGGAATTTGAAAATCACCTAAAATAACGGGTAAAATACAGGGAATTTTGATTCTTTCTTTATGAACTGGGAAAATACAGGGAATTTTGTTCCTTATTTTTGTCTTTTAAAAAATGGTGACCACTCAAAGCATAATTTATAGGATATTTAAGCATGATATTTCAATTAAAACTAATAAATATAGTTAGCCCACTATAGCTCACACAAGAGCACAGTAACTGTTGTGTTTCCTCTTAATATATTGTGTATAATACATACAGGGAAAACACAGGGGAATTTTTTTTTCGAGATTTGAGTAGCAACCCTGTATTAACAATATGAAATTTTTTTTAATGAATTATTTCGGTATCACTACAAGTTTTCATTGCAATATTTTTTTAAAAATAATCTAATGATTGTACTCACTGGTTGTGCTTGCCTACCCTTTCAAGTTTGCTTTGCTATTTGAGCACATTTTGCTCTTTCATTATACACTAGTTTATTTTAGTTTAACTTCATATACGGTAAACGCTCACTATTACGATATCCAATACAACAATAACCCCCTTTATTGCTTTGTGGTCCCCCCAAACTTGCATATGAATTAATGTCATGCTCCTCTCAATATTGCAATATTCTCTGAAGCAATAAACCTCCATAAAACTATTCTTTTTCTAAATTTCAACCTTATTTTCTACATTTATTATTGGTTTTCAAATAATGTAAAAAACCTTATTTTATCATCTTTTGCCATTTTCCCCATCTTTTCTGACAAGAGAAGACTCAGTGCTGACCACCCCAAGAGCTTCCATTCTTAAGAATTGCTTCCCTTATCTCTTAAGAAGTCACAGATGTAACATTCCTATCTGATATCATTTCCTTCATGTTAAAAGCTGACCATGAGTCACAAATGACCACAAGCATCATCTGAAAGAGAATTTTTTCTGTAGAGGGTGGGTAGAGCACCATTCATAAATAAAAATAATTTTCTTGCTTTGGACTCGATGCATATTTTGTTGGTTGACTTGACAGCCAAAAAAAAAAATTAATAAACAAACAAAAATATCAGATTATTTTCAATAAAAATGTCTTTCAGGTATGTATATGACCTTATTTTCTGAATTTATTTCAATTGTTTTTAATACATNTAGCAAACACCCCATTTTTCGTGAAATGCAGGGGATCCGCCAGATATCACTGAAGGAAAAAAAAATTATTCATGAAAAAAAGCACTTTTTAAAAACGCCAGCTGAAAAAAGCGCCTTTAAAAGCTTTTAAAAACGAAATCTCCCAAAAAGCACCTTTAAGTACTTTTTACAAGCGCTACGCACCCTGTATAGGTAATACATATATAACATTTAAATTAAAAAAATCTTATTGTGTCCCCAAAGTATGCAGGTCCTCTATATAACAATATATCCCTCTACAACAATATATTTATTTCGTCCCCAAAATATTGTTGTAGCTAGGTTTTGCTGTAATTGGTAGTACTCTTTTTAAAGTGGAAACTTTTTCTTAGAAATTTTGTGAAACCTTTGATTTATACTTCAGTTCATTTGGACTGGGTAATTCATTGAATTTTCTTATCTACACTCAAAATATAAATTCAGTGTTTGGAGTTGCAACAGTTTAACATGTTTGGCACGGTATGACATTGATGACTGCCTCAGCTCATAAATTCAATAAGACAGTGCGACTCTTGCGTGCTACACTGCAATGGTAAACACATTGATATTTAAAATCCATTGTCTGCACGGACTATTCATAATAGCCACATTAATAAAATTGCTGTTGTGGCGGTGATGGTTTTAAATTAATTAGTGATAGTTTAGGTATCATCATTGACTTTTAGCTGTTACAGATACATCTTAATTTGGATGTGATATAGTGATAATTATATCAGAAAATGAATAAAGTCGTTTAAGAAAACATTTGATTTAGTAAGTTAATATTAGTTGATTAAAAATGGCCATATTTAAAGTATAAAAATAAAGAATAACCCCTTAAAGGGATCAGGCAAAATCAATTCTGTTAAGATTGATATTCAATGGTTGGGACTGGATTTGCCAAAAATTGGAAATTGAAAGTGAATGAAGTGTTCCCAATGGACAGTTAGGAGCATGGGAAGAGATTCAAGGTTGGTGATTTATCTAAATATAAAATCGCCAAAAATAAAGCCAGCACTCCATAATCAATATTAGATTTTAAATTACTTTTGCAATCGCGAATCGCCAACAAGACTGTGAGAATTTGTATATCCATGCAACTGAAACATATTTGTGGGAAGAAATAAAGAATAAAAAGTTATAAATAGATTTTTGTTTTCGATTAGTCGCGACAGTGAATTAATTAGTCTCACATTAGTATTGAAATAAAAAATTAGCTCTTACATTGATCGATAAGAAAAGAATAAAATATTTTATATTCCCTTTTTATAAAATTTTTTTTATAAAAATTAGCTTATTAATTTAATTTAATTACAATTCGATTGAGAATGATTAAAAAATTAAGTTTAAGAATTTAAAGAAATTTTAAAAGGTAGGAAATATGCAATGCCATTATGGCATCACAATTGCTCTATACTTGTACCTATGATATTACCTGCTTATATTAAAGAACATAATTAAAGCACAAGTATAACTCAGTTTGTTGGTTTACATGAACATTTTCAACTTATTATTTCTGCCCAACTTATAGATCAGTTTCTTTCAGCACTTTGTTGCCAATGCGAAAAAAGAAGTTTCATAAACTTAGTGATATAGTGTTTTAAATAAATTCATTCTGTTATACAAGAATAATTACTTTTGATAACTAAAAAAACATATATTTTTTAAAGTTGGTTAATCTGATGTGTATTCAATTCATTTTAAATTAATTAATAAAAAAAGAAACACATTTAAAATTGTCACCATAATAATTTTTTTTCTATAGGGATTGTGATTTAACTCTACAATTGTCTTGTAATTTGCCATCTAACGTAGAAGCATTGAATGTTGTACTACATATACCTGTGCCATCTACTACTAGAAAGTATTTATTTATTTGTTAAATATTATAATCTATAATTTATTTTTAATCCAATAACTTCAAATGTAATTTTAAAATGAACATATATTTTTGCTTTTGTTCCTGATTATATTATTTTCCTGATTGATTAAGTTAAAATAATTTATTTTACTAGTATCCTAAATTTTTTTTTCTTTGAAAAAAATTCTATAATTTACATTATTTATATGCAATATGCTTTTTATTTGTATTTGTTTTCATGAATTAAGAACTAAAATTTATTTTATAATCCAATTACTTTAATTGTAATTTAAAAAAGAACATATATCTTTGTTTTTGTTCCTGATTATATTATTTTCCTAATTAATTAAGTTAAATTAATTTATTTTACCACGATCCTACTAAATTTTTTTTAAATCAATAATTTATATTACTTTTAAATTACTTATATACAATATGCTTTTGATTTGAATTTATTTTAATGAATTGAGAACTAAAAATAGAAAAGGTTTAAAGTACTCAGAAATCAGTTTTTTTTAATTATCATATCTATTTTTTTAATTATCATATCTATATCAGTATCTATATTAAACTGCTGTGATTAAAAAAGAAGAAGAACTGGAGTATATTGGAAGTAGCAACTATTGTAGTAACAGCTGAAATAGAGATCAAAAGGTCTCATTGATTTGACTTTCTAACTAATGAGTTTTCTATTGTTAGTCATCAATTTTTGAAAAGTGTTAGACATTGATTTGTACATTTTGGTTAAAAGCATGAAATAGGTCAAAGTTATAACAAAATTTCTATATTTTTATATTATGAGTATCAAATGAAAGACTGTGTTGGCATCATGTGATCTCTCTTTTTGTATGTGTGTTAATTTTGTTTATTTATTGATGAAAACATTCGGTTTTTTATGGATGGTGAGCTTGAGCCATGATGGTTCAGCTTATAGAGTGTTTACCTTCCAAATGAGGTGGAGTGAGTTTGAATCCCAGCGAGGACTGGTCGATACAAATTCCGCATCCGACTTGCACCGACCACAGTGCTGACGTGAAATATCCTTTTTGGTAGACAGATCATGCGTTAGAGCACCCTTGCCATCAAACTAACTGCGGGAGGCTTTCGTGGTTTCTCTCTCCATATAATGCAAATGCGGGTTAGTTCCATCAAAAAGTCCAACACGAAGGCAAATTGCTTCCCAATTCTTGGTTCAGTAGTTCCCTTGTCTTCTGGATAGAATTCAAAATTATTATACTATACTGAATAATGATTATACTGAATAATGATTATTATATTTATTATACTGAATAATGATGATGCTATCACTGCTGTATTTCTGATGTTATAACTTTTGTCCACATTATATTATATCCTCCTATGACACCATCCAGTCTAATGGACAACATTTGTTTCAATTTCATCATTTAAAAATATTTTTTTATGGTTTTTCTACTGTTTATTTATGGTATGTTTATTTACTGTTTATTTATGGTTATTTTTTTTAACCGTTTTTCTGTTTGTTTGCATTTACAAAGTGATTGACTATGCATGAAAATAATTAGATTCTCTAGTTGGTCAGAGTTTTCAATGATAACGAAAAAATATAATAAAGATAAGGAATATAATTCAACTGACACTTAGGACAGTTTTACGGCATAAAAATGTCTTATTATTTGAGCATAGTGGTTTATGTTTCATGCCCAAAATGTGAAAAACGATAAAAAATATCCTACGAAAAATTAAAATCTTTAAGTGGTAAATAAAAACAGTTAATTTATAACCTTATATATATCGATTTATAACAATAAATTTTGTTTTAAAACCGTCATTGAACAGCTGACCCAATTTTATGGTTTATGACTACTAATATTAAACTCCATAGCCATTGTACTTTTGAAATCCAATCCAGAAGACAAGGGAACTCCTGGATCAAGTACTGGGAGAAATTTGCCTTCACGGAGGACTTTTTGATGGAACTAAGCCGCATGTGGAATTCGTATTGACCTGCCATCGCTGGGATTCGAACCTGATTCCCTCATTGGAAGGTGAACTTTCTATCCCCTGAATGATTAAGAAATAGTGGAGGACTTTTTGATGAAACCAGCCCGCATTTGAATTACAAGAAGAGAAAAACGACGAAAAACTCCCATGGTTAGCTGGACGGCAAGGGTACTGAGGATTATTTTGCAAGGGGATGGCTGATCCGGTTACCACTGAGGTTATTTTATGTCAGCCCTGTGGTCGGTGAAAGACAGATGCAGAATTTGTATCAACCAGCCATTGCTGGGATTCGAATCCGGTTCACCTTATTGGAAGGCGCTCTATCCCCTCAGCCATCACGACTTATGATTACTGTATTGATAGTTAGTTGATAGCAGTTAATTGAATTGTCACATTTATCAGTTCTTCTGAGCTAAATTAAAATCAAATTATTTAAAGCTCAGGTCTCAGATGTATTCAAATGGTCAATTTTGCTTTTCGGAATCATGTTTAAACTGGTTATAATTGAACTTTAAATGTTACTTTCTGTTTTTTTTCCTGTAAAACATTTCATATAACCTTTCATATTCAACATAATTATTTTTTAGTGTTATGCAGCAATTTAGTATGTTTGAGAACAGTGCGGAATTCATACAAAAGCAAAGGAAGATTTTGTGGAAGCTAAAAAAGTTACCAGGGCAGGGTGAAGTTACAGCTAAATTTAAAGTAAGCTGTATTTTTTCTTTTTGCACATTTAAATTATTTTATTTTCAAACAGTTTTGCAAAGAGGTATGTTGATAAAATTTTATATCTAAAGCTGTCTAGTCCTGCTGAGTTAGCCATGCCTTGATAATTATCACTTCAGTCTTTCTAGTGTTAAGAAAACATGCTCAATTATAATAATAAATGGTTTAACAAAAATAAATACAATACTGCAATACATAACTTTTCAACAGAGGGAAAGATAATACTTTGTGCTATGTAGGCTAAATTAAAAAACAACATTAATAAAGCACGAATGAAAGTACATAAATTGACACACTATTGTAAGTCAATTTATGTGCTGTGCGCCAAATAATAACTTTTAACCAAATAATAACTGATTAACTTTTGATATAATGATCAGATCTTCACATTCTAGGACTCAATCTTCATGGCTCAAGAGGGTGACTTTAAATATGCTAATTAATTAGTGTAGACGATATTTTAAGTTATGAAATTAGATACAAAATATACTTTTTCTTTTCAACTGATTCGAATTTCTGACCTTCAAAATATGATTCCCATATTTTGGTCAGGTGAGCGTTCCACAGTGTGGATCCCTTAATGTTAATTTTACTTTTTTTGTATTTTGTTATATCTCGAGAACTTTTCAATCGTATTGAAAAATTTTGCACACAATTATGAAATTCGTTTATCCAAGGATAATTCCATGTTAAAAATAAATTTTATTAAATATTTATTATTTTTTATTACTCTTTTACTAATAGTTCAAAAAAATTGGAATTGTAAAGTATACAAACAGCTATAATTATTTAATGAAAAATAATTTATACGTTAGATTAACATAGAATGTATATGGAACTTCAAAATTTCTTTACGTAAGGGGCAGTGAAGAGGAATCCTGCACCTGCGAGAGTTCATTAATGAAAATAACGAGACCCTACAGAAAGCATTCTGTTAGAAATTAACAATTGTCATTCTGCTATCACAGTTCAGAGAAGATCTCATCAGCTTTACAATCAAGAACCTTCAAATGGAAACAACATACGCAAATGGCATAGGAGGTTTGAAGAAACGGGATGTTTGTGCAAAGGTAGCGGAAGACTGCCTGTTTCAGCTTATGGGTAGTGTATCTACCACTACAAAAATGCAATTCTAATTCACTATTATATAAGACATGTTAACTCGATTCTATGGTGGGGTACTTTTCATAGATGAAGGTTGACGTTGGGGATAACTTCTTTCTCACATTGGTGACCCTGATGTGATCTGAACATGCCTATCTTGAGAATAACGCCCATTTTGATCTGAACACCGCCTACTTCCATGGATGGTCCACATTGTACAGTTGACTTGCTACCTGTGACTGCGACATTGTCCACCTCCTCGCACTGTTGCTACTCAGTCTTGATCACACACAACGTCGCCCTATATGCCATCGACTGCTAATGACAACACAGGAGCTACCTCGACCGTGATCTTAATACAGCTCTCACGATCAACATGTTAATACAGCTGACCCGGCTTCTCACAAAACAGCAACGAATCAACTAGTGGTATCCATTCATTGAATTCTATCACAGCTATAATTCTGGTGGGGTGTATCTACCACTACAAAAATACAATTCTAATTCACTAGTGTCTATAAGACATTTTAACTCAATTCTATGTTGGGATACCTTTTCATGGATGAAGATTGATAACTCCTCTGTATGGTATGAAATGGACTACCTGTATACAAAATTTTGAAGTTCCTTCTACATTCTGTGTAAATTTTATCGATAAATATTTTTTATTTAATAATTATAGCCGTTTGTGATCGCTATATTCATTTTGAATTGCCCTGTATAATAAGCATATATAATAAGACACAAAACACACGTTTCAGCATTAAGTTTCAGGAATATGATGCCATTTAGAATTTCTATGACATTTTAAGCTACTATCTGTAATACTCAGGTGCTCCGGTGACTCCTTTAGTTAAGGCGCTGTTCTCATTGTTGATTGTAGAACTAGTGATTGGGTCCTGGTGGCTAACAAACAACCAGTTTGTACGCGCAGCAAGGTTGACATTAAATCTGTTGTGGCTTGAAATCCTGTTGCTAGTTGTGGTGTGGGAGTTTGGAGAGTGGGATATCAGTTCGGCGGGGCCCACGTCTTCTGACCAGGACAGGGCATTCGTACCATGACCGTTAAAAGATAGAGCCCTATAAATGTGGCTGGCTATTTGTCAATCGTTGGATGATGACGATTTATTATTATCCCATGCTTAAAATTTCAGTTCGTGTTAAAAATCAAGTCCTCCATTTTCCCATAACAAATCCATACCTCTGGTGGTACTGATCCAGGAGTTCCCTTGTCTTCTGAATTTATGTTCAAAATTACAAGGCTACCGAGTTGAACATTAGTAGTCGTAAAGTCAAAATTGGGTTGGCTATAACGGCAATAAAATAAAATCTATCCTCAGCAGATATTAAAATATCAATTAAATATAATGATATCAAATCGAATGTAACAAATATTTCGGACATTCACCAAAGCGACTATGTGATTGTTGACATTCTCTTGATTTCAGTCACTCAAAGTAACATGTAAATTGCATTTTCTTTCTTTTTTTTAAAAAAAAAAATTTACTTTAATGTATATTTTAAGCAGCAGGGGAGGATTAGCGCTTGCCTCTCAATGAGGTAACCCAGGTTCGAATTATAGAGGTGGCTGGTCGATTTGAATTCTACTCCTGCCTTGCCCTCACCACAGTGCTCATGAAAAATATCCCGAGTGTAAACTAACTGTGGTCCTTTTAGATTATTCGATAAAAGAAATATCTTGTTTTCACGTATAAAGAAGTTTTTTTCTTCGTTATAGCTTATTGAAGGCCTGCATGTTCCGGCTAATCGACTAGAAATAGGTCCCGTCTCTTTGGAATTTGAAATATCTAATACGACATGCTCGGGACTTTTAATAAGGAACCTGAAAGCTGAAGACCCGGCTGGAAAGCAAATTCTCATTCAGAAATGGGTCCGATATGTTACTGTAGCTCAATCCTATGTTTTCCTTATATGAATTGAAATTTTTTTTTTATTGTTAATTGTTATTTTAATAAAGTATTTATTTTTATGTGTGTCAATGAAACTATGAAAACTATATAATACTGTACATATCAGATATCTGAAGTACTTTTTTAATTGCAAACAAATAGAATGTTGTTGCTTAAATGTTCTAGTTCATTTACGTCGTACTAGAACTGCACAATGGGCTATTGGCAACGGTCTGGGAAACATCCCTGAAGTTGATACGAATACATGCTTTCATAATTTTGATCCTCTGCAGAGGGTATGGCACCCTCGCTTCGGTAGCCCAACGACATACGCGCGAAGTTGAGCTCTTTGCGGTATAACAGTTTATCGAGGACCAATACCACACGCCCTCGTACCCTAAGCAGACTGATCCAAGCGGTCACCCACTTGCACACTGACCGCAGCCAGTGATGATTGACTTCGGTGAACTGATGGGAACCGTGTCTTAACGATCAGTCCACTGCGGGACTGTTTCCTAAATGCATTTCAACAGTTTAGTTATTCAATAATAAAGTGATCAAATTTCTCACCTTATTTCCACTTTTAATGACTAATGCAAACGTTAGTAATGGTGGTCTTCATAGTTGTGAACATCACCTGTAGATGGAACTACTAGTGTCGCAAAAATCTTAGATGCTGGTGCTGACCTATTGCATTTAAGCCTGAGCAGAAGTATGGTAAGAAAATTCTCTCTGTATCCATCACACAAGATAATGTGCGCCATGTTGAAAGTCTAGCTGACTGACCAATTCATGCAAGGGAAATCTCGGGAAGAACAGCAGAATGGAAACTGCACTAAATAATTTCCATATTTTTGAAGTGTTGAAGACTCATCTGGAAAAAGACGCTTAGAAACTAATTCTTAAAACCCTAAACATATCCATAAATTCTAATCCAAATTGTAGATTTTGCATCAATAACAATAATGAAGAACTAATAAAAAATGAATCTCGTCATGTAAGAATTTTGATTAAAAATAATCAGTAAATAGACTGGAGTAAGAAATTAAGAGAATTTGCAGACTGGGTCGATTATCTCTAGAACTACTGGACCGATACAAATGAAATTTGATATTATGTACATACATTGATACAATACAAAACACATAACCATTCAACAATCGTAATGCACACGCATGATCGTGCGTAACACTAGTAGGAGTCAGAAAGTTCAGTAGTTCTAGAGATAATAGACCAAGTCTGCAAATTCACTAAATTTCTTACTCCAGTATTTGAGATTGGTCCACTTCTTTTTGTGCACTGTTTGCTTTTCACAAAAGCATTTATACCATATTCTATGGTCCCGCAGTGGACTGATCGTTAAGACACGGTTCCCAGCAGATCACCGAAGTCAAGCATCACTGGCTACGGTCAGTGTGCGGGTGGGTGACCACTTGGATCAGTCTGCGTAGGGACCGAGGGTGTGCGGTATTGGTCCTCGTTAAACTGTGCTACCGTAAAGTGCTCGACTTCGCGCGCAGGTCGTCGGGCTACCGAAGCGGGGGTGCCATCCCCTCCGCAGAGGATCAAAATTGTGAGGATTCGTGAGAAGCTCATCATCAGGGATGTTTCCCAGACCGTCGCCAATAGCCCATTGTGCAGCTCTAGTGCGACGTAAATTAACAACAACCAACCATATTTTATGTTGAAAGACGTTTTTGATAGACAATGTAAGGGCGACCAAAGCGAATAGTCGATAATATATGTCCGAAACAAGTTCCTTTTCTATCACTAAAAATCGAGGGGTCTCCCTGCTTTCTCTGAATTGTTCTATCTGTATTTTCTATTTGACAATGACTTATAAGCCTATATTGAGCACACAAGTCAGCAAATGTATGTAATTTCAATAAAATCAATCTAAAATTCGAATAACTGCACTTTTTTTCTGCCTTAGAACGACTTTACATTCACTTTTAATGCTTTCATACGAACTGGTTAAATCAGTTGTGCGCAATATGCAGTGCACGTTCCTTTAATCTATAACCTCGATAGCCAGGCTATCAAATATCACAATTCATTTGGGTAAGTCTTTTAGCAACAGTTTATTGTAATAATAAATTCTTGGATATTTTGTTATATTTATCTATTCTAATCAACTTTTATATAATTGATGCCTTTTGGAAAAAAAAAGGCAAAAAATCAATTATCATCATCGGCAATCATTTTTTTATTTCATAAGTAAATACAAGGAGTTAAAACAAAACATAATACACAAGTTCTAAGTTGAAATTTTTAATTTTTTTATGCGTGAAAAATATTTAATTTACTATCCCGAATTATCTCGGGCAAATGAAAAAAGTTAAATATTAGTCTTTGTATAGTTTCACATCTTCATAATCTGAAAAATCATCTGCATTACTTTCGCTAACGTCATTTTTTTTACTCTTTTTTTCTATGTATAATTCATCAACCATCGTATGTACTCATGTACAAAACACGTCCGCAGTCCCACAAACCAGCAAAACTCCCAAACAAAAATTGTTCAACCTCCAATCACAGCAGATAATTATTTTTTGTTTTGCTTCCGGATGAATAAAAACGTGATAAAACAAAACGTATTGACGAATTCTGCTATACCCGAGTTTACTCGGGATGATAATATTTGCAATGTATACATACCCGAGTTTACTCGGGATAATCAGGGAAGCGGTTAAAAATTGATTTGAACAATTAACAAAAAGACTTACAATAAACTAGGAGGCTTCGCTCCCTGCTCTCTGGTGCTCGCCAACCTCCGGAACTGCTTTCGCAGTTCATTTCGGATTGCTTCGCAATCCAATGCTCGCTCATTGGATACGTTCTTAACGGCTAGTTTTTGTATACTTTTTTGAATACTGAAGTTCCGAAAACTTTTCACTGTAGAAAATTCTAAACCTGTACATTTCAATATTAATTTGAAATTGCACACATATTTTGCTTAATCACGCTATTCTAAATTTCAGTTGTTGAGAAAAGTAACTGTTGTAAGTTTTGTTTTAAAGTCTTTCCCACCAGAGGGCTAAAGCCATGTGTTGTAAAACAATATGAAATAGTAGTCTGCCACTGAACGCCGGATGTAAAGCATCGGCTTTGATGAAGATAATTTTGTATTTTTAATTCTCTGAAGGGCGCCACCTTAATAATATGGAATTTGTAAAATAAATGTATATATTTTTGATTGTTGATGAAGCCCATCATTTTGTGTTTTCATCAGTGTTCAGAAGCAGAACAACTATAAGTTTTTTTATTTTATCACATAAATATAAAATGTATAAAAAAACAAAGAAAAGAGTAAGAAAATGAGTATAGTCCTAGAAAAAGTTAAAATTATAATATAGTATTTGTCAGTTAAAATCAGTCAGTTTCTAAATGTCAGTATTCAACCCCAAAACAACTTAAACTCCTCAAATTTAGCATGAAGTTGTAAAATGTAATGAAGGAGGGTAATAGCAATAATGTAAGTAGAAGTAAAGTTAGTACTGTAAAATTAAATCAATATTTTTAATCAATGAGCCAAGTTCTTCAAGTAGCTGGATAGAAGTTTTTTTTATTTAAAACTTTTTATAAAATTTCTTTAAAAACACAATTGTTAATCTGGGCATTTGGCGATACAACACTTATAGAATTGAAGGATTTGTTACGTCAAGCGCTCAGGTATCATAATTTTGATCTAGTTGCGCTTCTATGTCATGTTGATTCATGTTGCTAAGTTAACTTTCAAACATTCTACGGCTGACAACAGCATTTATATTTTTTTAGTTGCTTATTTTTATTTCTTTTAGAATTCGTTCTTTTTTTGATTATTTTTATTTCTTTTAGAATTCGTTCTTTTTTTAGCGAAATGTTTTTTAACATAACAGAATTCTTTGCCGACTGCTCTCGGTATATATGACGAAAATAAAGTAAATATTTAAGTGCTGTGAAAAGAATCTTATTTAGTTGTACAAAGTACTTCTTTAAAAATGAAAACTGTTGCCACCAGCGGAAAAGAAATACAGCCAAAATTTGGGAGCCACGTAAGAGAATTATGTATATTAGATAGAATATAATCATTCAGAATCTAAAACAATAGTTTATATTAAAATTTTTGTCAAAAAAAAATTTTTTTTTTAAAAGATTTCTATCGAATCTCTTAGATCAAAGTAGTACCGTAAAAAAAAAAGAGACGAGTTAATTAAAAGAATGATTTCCGAAAGATAAAATGTTCCGTCTACTTTGAAGTCAATTAATTATCCAATAAGCGAGATAACGAAGTCGCTCTGAAAATGAGGTTGTGAATTTGGTGAAACTCGTCTCTCGAGGTTTGGTTGCTAATTTAAATAATTGGGAAAAGAATGAATGGTAAAAATGAGAATTTTGTTTGCGAGAGTCGTTCTAAACAAGCCAGTTTATTCGATAAAATGCTGAAATTTTTCATTAAGTTAATGGTATTTCTTTTTCATAGTTTAATGTCTAAAATATAAGGTTTTGATATAACTAGTGAGCAGTTAAGAATCTGGAGCAGAATTCTTTCGAAAATTAATAGTTAGAGATGTATTTTAGTTTTATGGAAATGTTTCATAACCGACGTTGAACAGCCGACTCAGTTTTGGGTTTACGACTATTTATACGATTACAGGGGGGATCCAGAAATTTTTCCTGGGGAGGGTCATAGACTCAGATCCCCCCCCCCCACATCTAATNATCCCCCCCCCCCACAATTAAGTGTTTAAAATTTTTTTAATTATCTTTTTTGAAAGAAAAACTGGAATTTTTAATGCTAGTCTTCTCATAAACAACAATAAGAAACAGTAAGAACAGAAACATAAGAGAACAATATATAAATAATTCAAGTATTCAAAATTTTTAAATAATAAATGTAATGGGTTTCTTAGAAACTTTGGCAAATCTGCCAATAATTTTTTCAACACCCAAATCAAATTCTCGATGAATGTGTAACAATGCGAGTCCATTAAATCGTTCGTTAAGTTGCTCCAAGCCAAGTTTTGAGACGTCGAAGACTTGGAAAGGAACGTTCTGCTAATTAAAATTCTCAACAATATATTGATTGATGGGTACAAAT